AGTGCTCCTTGGAGGCCAGGATGGCCAAACTTTGTCTCTCATACTTTGGACATATTGTCAGGAGTGACCAGTCACTGGAGAAGGATATCATGTTTGGTAGGGTGGAGGGTCAGAGAAAAAGAAGAAGACCCCCAGTGAGGTAGATTGGCAAAGTGGCAGCATCAATGGGCTCAAGCGTGGCATTAATTGTGAGTTTGGCCTAGGATTGGGCAATATTTTGTTCTGCTATGCATAAGGTCACTGTGAGTCAATACCAACTTGATGGCACCTAACAACAATAACAAACTGAGAGAATAATTATGTTTGTTAAAGTCGTCTACTTGCAGTGTTTCTGTAATTGCAGCACTAGAGAACTAAGACAATTATAGAAAGATAATTTCCTTCTAAGGTTTGTTGTTGGTGTTAAGTGTTGTGGAGTCGATCCCAACCCACAACAACCCTGTATAGGGTTTCTGAGGAGCAGCTGATGAGCCTGAACCACTGACCTTGCAGTTCAAACAGCTATGCAGTCTGACGCATTAACCCACAGCGCCACACCAGGGACAGTGTACTAAATTGTGAAATCTAGTCTCTTTCGTGAAACTCATTACTCAGAACACAAAATTTTGAAGTTAAAGGAATATGAAGAAACTCTTTACAGTTAGTTCCTTCTTTCCTTAAGGAAGGATTTGTTGTTGTTACTGTTAGGTGCCACTGAATTTGTTCTCACAGTGACCCTATGTACAATAGAACAAAACACAGCCCGGTCCTGCACCATCCTCAGTTGTTGCTATGTTTGAGCCCACTATTGTTGCCATTGCGTTAATCCACCTCACGGGGAGCCTTCCTCTTTTTCACTGACCTTCCACTTTACCAAGCATGAAGTCCTTTTCTAGGGAAAGCAACCAATATACTGAGGCTTAGCTATATGACTCTATCAGGTTAACACATCATCAGGTCTGAGTCAGCTCAGATAAGCAGCTAAATTTGAATTCTAGATAAACAATTAAAAAGGAACTCTGGTAGCATATTAGTCACGATTTGGGCTGTTAACCTCAAGGTCAGAAGTTCAAAACTACCAGCTGTTCCATGGGAGAAAGATGAGGCTTTCTGCTCTGGTAGAGATTTACAGTCTCGGAAACCCTATGCAGGGTCGCTATGAGTTGGAACCAACTCCACAGCACACCACCACCATCAGTGTACATATATGTTCCATGAATATTTGGAATATAATTTTTTTTTTTATCATGGACTGCTAGAAAAACGAACAAATCTTTCTTGGAAAAAGTACAGCCAGAATGCTCCTTAGAAGTAGGATGGTGAGACTTCATCTCATATACTTTCGACACATTATCAGGAGGGACGCAGTCCCTGGAAAGGACATCATGCTACATAAAGGAGAAGGTCAGCAAAAAAGAGGAAGACCCTCAACAAGATGGACTGACACAGTGGCTGCACCAGTGGGCTCTAACATAGGAAAGATTCTGAGGATGGTGCTAGACTCAGCAGTGTTTTGTTCTGTTGTACGTAAAAGTTGCTATTACTCAAAACCAGCTTGACAGCACCTAACAACAATTATTCTTATACGTAAATACACTTACTTATGTTGTTGTTGTTATGTGCCGTGGAGTTGGTTCCGACTCATAGCGACCCTGTACAGGGTTTCCAAGGCTGTAAATCTTTACGGGAGCAGAAAGCCTCATCTTTCTCCAGTGGAACAGCTGGTAGTTTCGAACTGCTGACCGTGAGGTTCACAGCCCGATTCATAACCACTACGCTACTAATAGATTATTCACGGCTTTTAGACTCCTGATATGGTGCTTTAGGATCAGCACTGGACTGCGAACCACAAGATCAGCAGTTCACATCCACCAGCTGCTCCTTGGAAAACCTATGCAGGGTCACTTTGAATTGGAACCAACTCAAGGGCACTTATCAACAACATCTGCTTTTAGGTTCTCTTAAAATTTAGAAAATGAAGTTATCCTTTTAAAGAACTTCAGACATTCTACATATTTTAGTATCTCCTATACAGCACCAAACCCCACCACCACCACCAATGAATTTATTGTGACTCACAGCAACCCTATATGGGGTTTCTGAGACTGTGAGTCAGGAGCCGGAAAGCTCATCTTTCTTCTGCAAAGTGACTAGTAAATTTCAACAGTCAACCTTATAGTTAGCAGTTTCACAGCACCGCCAGGGTTCCTTACAAAGCTCCTGAATTGATCCCTAAAGTTCTTTAAAACCCATTGGGCCCAACCTAAGACCATAAAGAACACCCATTTTTAGGTTCTTTACTCGAGCTGTTCCCAAGTGTAGTTCTCTTAAGGTCCTTATAGTTAGAGTATCTCAGGATAAACAGTAAGTTCATTATAACTTGCAACTAAATAAAAGTTAGCTTTGGACAAAGCTCCTGAATATATGTGGCATGATCTTATGACATACTATAATTTTACAGGATATTTGAATCCCATTTTCTTCATGGAGGCACTGATAGAATTAGCCACATAAATGTCAGCCTTGGGGTAATTCATATTCTATAGACAAGGCCTAAAACAAGTAAGAGAACAGAAAATTATCTAATTATTCAATGATCAATAAGGAAGAGGTTCACATTTTCCAAATAAGGAGCCAAAACATGAAAAAAAATGTCCAAAATCTGCACAAAAACAATATAAAATGAGGATATACGTCAAAAACCAGTTTATGTGAAAAATGGCTTTTATCTAGATTTTCTTGGTCGAGTACTTCATATTAATTTAAGTCAAGCTAACTTTTCACTATTTTTTATAGATAATGTTATTGGTTCTCCTACTCAATCCAGTCTTTAAAGAAAACAAACCAATATTTACCAAATCCTGACATATTAAAATCAGTATGTAAATTCTTCCTACCTGTTTCAGTAATCTCTCTCTCTCTTCCATTGGCGAACCCATGCTTTTGTCTTCTGCAATCATCTGATCTCGATGAGACTCTAACTCATCAAGTTTTTCATGCAGCAATACAGCCTCCTGTTTTACCTGGGAGTGCGCTATTTCCTGAAAGAAACAAGTACCAAGAAAAGTTGAATGAGTATTTTATAAAAAGTTACTCTCAAATAGGTTCAGTTTATAAGAGTGTGGGCAAATTTTAAACCACTAGCATCTTAAAAGAATAACAACCAAATATCCATAAAACCCCATTGCTATTGAGTAGCCTCCAATTCCAAGTGAATCTAAATACAGTTTCTGAGACTGTAATCTTAACAGAACAGACAGGCTCATCTTTCTTCCGAAGAGCAGCTGGTGAGTTTGAACTACGGACCTTGTAGTTAGCAGCCTAACATTTATCCCACAAAGCCACCAGGCTCCATTCAAATACCTATGCCATTGTTGTTAAGTATCATCGAGTTAGTTCCCTTATAGCATTCTTACACAGGGTTTCTGATGAGTAGCTGGTGGATTTGAACTGCTGATCTTGTGTTCACAGTCCAGTGCTTATGCTCCAGTGCCACAGTACTGGAGCTTAATGTTACACAACATTTCTAAACCCAAAGAGTTCAGTAAAAATAAATCCCTGTATTCTTTTGTAAGCAATTATCAGTCCAAGATTCACAAAAAGTTGGTAGCATTATTATTTTCTAAATATAAGATATGAACAAAGATTGGAAATTTCCACAAATAGGAAGATAATGAAGAAAACATCTCACTAGATGTAAAATTTTAGCCACATGTCCATTTCAAAGTCCAAAGAACTGATCTTTTAATTTTCCCCTGAGTAAGTTAGATTAGATAAATAGATAGATAGGGAGATGTATATATACTTTGATAGATAGATAGTTAGATAGATAGATAGATAGATAGATAGATAGATAGATAGATGTATATATACTTTGATAGACAGATAAGGAGATATATAGATATACATAGATAGATAGATAGATAGATAGATAGATAGATAGATAGATAGATAGATAGAGGTATATACACTTAGATAAGGAAATGTATATATACTTTGATAGATGATAGATAGATAGACAGATGTATATATACTTTTGATAGACAGATAGATAGGGAGATGTATATATACTTTGTACAAGTAGAATAATTATTGTACATTCACCACTACTCTACTATTTACTAATATGACAGATATTTTAATATATAAGATAAAAACTAGAGATGGTGGTGGTGATGATGATAATGAAAACTGGAACATTACAAGTTATTACTTATGAACATTTTGTTCTGTGCCAGGCACTGTAGTTCATGTTCTTTATATAGTATCTCTAACACTCTCAGCAGCTCTAGAAGGGAGCGCTATTGTCTCCATTTACAGACGAGATAACTGAGGATCTGAGATCTGAGTAACTTTTCTAAGTTAACAAAGATAACACAAGTTAGTGATGACACTTGAAACCTGGCCCACAATGTGAGAAACACCAAATATTTAAGCAGTAAGACCTCCCTGTTTATTAAAGTAGAAGAGAAGGAATCTAAAATCAAGGAAAAGGAGAATATGAGAAAATCTTTGAAAGTTCACAGGCAATGGGTTATATAGGTAAACCAACTAACAGATTAACTTCAGGTAAGAGAAAAAAAGAAAAGGGATGATGATAAATATACAAAAAAGAAAGGAATGTAGGTATTCTGAGGCATCCCTTTTCATAGGTTTCTCCTTTCTTCTGCTCAATATATGCACAGACTCCCTCCAATTGTATCTGGATAAAACGGCTCCTTAGACTCAAGCTCGGGTTCCTGTCATCTAACTTTTCACAGCCTTGTGAATCCAACATGAGGACAACACAGCACAGTGTTACACACAAAGCCGATATTTAAGAAATACTAGCTGATTGCTATTTCACACATTTTCTTGAAGAACAAATTCAAAAGCAAACAAATGACAACAACAAAAAATAAATGGAATTTGGGAGAAGTAAAACAAAACTAATGACTCACGTTTTCTTAATTTTCTAATAATATAAAACTTTTGAATGTCACGTTATTTAAGGCATACCTGATAATTTTATTATCACTGGTCATGCTGCAGAAGATGTCTTTAAAGTGTGAAAAAGGAAAGATGTCACTTTGATGACTAAGTTGTGCCTGACACCTCAATATTTTCAGTTGCCTCATACACATAAGGAAGCTGGATAATGAATAAGGAGACCAAAGAAGAATGCATGCCTTTCAATTAGGGTGTTGAATATTGACTATATCATGGACTTCCAGGAAGAACCAACAAATCTGTCATGGATGAAGTGCAGACAAAATGCGTCTTAGAAGACAGAATGGCGAGACTTTGTCTCCCATACTTTGGACAGGTTATCAGGAGGGACCAGTCCCTGAAGGACATCATGTTCATGCTTGGTAAACCAGAGTGTGAGGAAACAAGAAGAAGACCCTTGATACAGTGTCTGCAACATAGAAACAATTATTAGGTCTGGGTAGTGTTTTGTTTCTTTGTGTACTGGATCGCTATGCCTAAGAACCAACTCAATGACATTTAACAACAATCTTGCCAAAGAAGAGAGGCATCAGTACAAAAACATCCAAGATTATGATTAGAAACTGAAGCATTGTTTATAACTCCAAAAAACTAGAAGCAATCTGTTCATGTATAAGAGTATAGTGTATTCATATACTACAATGATATACAGTAATTTTAAATAATCAGAGTGATCTTGAAGAATTGATGTGAATAGACATATAAGATATGACTTTAGGTGTAAAAAATGAACAAGCTGCTGACAGTATATCCGGTATAAATCCCTCTTTAAGTTTTACACAACTGTTAAATCAAGAAAGGGTTAGAAGACTGTTGTGAGGATTAAATGACAATGCTGGTGATATATGAGGATTTAAAGAACTTACAAAAGTACATAGTAAGCACTCAACTATTACATGTCAGAGTAGTTCTATCTGGAGACGACAAGAAATAGACTTTTAAAATTTTATTTCACTCGATTCCATCTTAACTAACAAACTAAGAAAACAAATAGAGCACTTAAAGTAATTTCCATCCTTAAAGTGATGAAGCAAATCTCTTGCCCACTTCATTTGTTTTTACAACTCTATGAATGTGCCTTTAAATTACCATTAATTTTTGCATTCCCCAGTAGGATGGAACAATTTATTTGTAAAACAAAAAAACAGGGTTGTTGAGTCATTTCTGACTCTTGAATACCCTGTGCATGTCAGAGTAGAACTGCTCTCCATAAAGTTATTCAATGATTGCTATTTCAGAAATAGATTCCCAGGTCTTTCTTCTGTGGTGTCTCCGGGTGGATTAGAATCATCAATTTTTTTGGTTTAACCTCACACAGTAGGTATTGAATAAATGAATCTAATATCTTCCCCAACTACAATATTTGTGTTGAAAATAGGAAGAGAAATTATTAAATTCCTGTTAGTCAACTCCCAAATAAAAATGTAATTGAATGAGTTCCATTCATGTAGTTAGCTGAGCTATCTTTTGGGACTAAGTAAACTAAGAACGCTGATATGATTATATACTTACAGCTTCCAGGCCCTCCTTTTTCATGTTCAGTGAATCCAGTTGTTGTTGAAGTGCATCTAATTCCTAAGAGGAAAAAAACATATAAATATAAACACAAACTACATTAAAAATAATTTACTTCTCCATTCATTTACATTTCAAGTACTGTGTAACAAAGAACATTTTATAAGCATCTTCACTTCATATCAAACTAATTTTGACTAGCATTGTTATTGTTGTGAGCCATCAAGTCCATTCTGACTTATAGGAACCCTGTATAGTGTTTTCCAAGAGCAGCTGGGGGTTTAGAACTGCCAACTTTGTGGTTATCAGAATTTATTAGCACCTCATTATTTCTATTCATCCAAATTTCATTAATTATTCCTGAAAACCTTGTGATGATCTACAGCCAGTGAAAGGCAGCCAGTTCTACTCAGAAGGAAACATCACTGCTCTATGTGCATTAAATATCAGAAGCCTTCAAGTAATGTCATTGTTTAAAGTCATATCTATTTTGATTTTTTTAAACTATGCTTTCTTATTTTTTGTCTCATTTATTCTAGGGTCAAGACCTGTACCAATTTACATGTCTCACTCCTAGGATAAGAACCCTGAATTGATTATATATGCATAATCCCTGTGCAAGATGAATCTACATTTGGTATTTCTCTAATATATTTCCTTCAATGCTTCATTGTATTTCAATAATCCTAACATCAAAAGTGAAGTAAAGTTATTTGGGAAACTAAGACTCTTGGCATTTCTGAGGCCTAATTTGCTGTCATCTGGACATGAATAGGCACTAACTTTCAAGTCTCACGTAATCAACATCATAACTGAACACTGGCAGAATCCTCAATAATTCCTTGCCAAGTTCTCGAATTTCATATCCAAACACTCCCCTATTCATGATTAGGAGGCAACAGCTATTCAAATCAAGGGCCCAGAAGGTAAAAGATTTGCTGGTTGTAAGATGGGGGATAAAAAGAATGAAAAAATGTTCAGGTCTTAACTTGCAACATTGAAAGATTCTATGAGTAAAATACTGAATGATAAAGAATGCATCAAAAGAAAATGGATAGTTCCAAGACTGAAACTCAAAGGGAACACACAAGTAGGCTTGTAAGCTCACTGGTGACCATGTTGGTCTACTTGTGAGTAGAAGTGGGGGAAAGGAAGTAATTAAGACATGGGCTGAGTTCAACTATGGTCCATAAACTCCTGTCAGCCTTGAGATGAGAGAGAGAAGAGGAAGAGCTAGTTGGTCCAACATTTGGGAAGACCTGTCCTGAGCCCATGGACACTTACCTAGCCATGGAAGGCTAGAGCTGAGAGTGAAGCATTGAGCTAATATGAAGTAGAGAGAGGTACACATGAACACCCAAACTTGCAGACAGTACCCATTTGACCTAGCTTGGATAGCTTGATGATCAGAACTTCACTAGAGGAAGATAAAGAAGTTTGATACACGAAGCAAAAGTAAATTGCTACAATTTGATAAACTTGACCTTTGCTTATGGATATAGTTGCTCAAAATACCAACCAGGAGGAAAGGAGTTGGGCAACTTAGACACTGGCTACCTAAAATGGGGGAGAGAGGGGCTAAAAAGGCATGAAATGGCTGGCTTATAAATTTTCAAGAGGGAGTTTAGTTTCAGAGCAAAAGGGGAAAGATAGAATCCCCAATGCATAGTTTTCATCTTGTCTAGATGGGTCTGGTGAAAGGAGATGGGGATAGCATTCTTTTGATTCAATAGTGAGTAATTGTTGTTGTTGTTAAGTGCCATTGAGTCGGTTCCAACCCATAGCGACCCTGTAAAGGATTTCCGAGGATCAATCGATGGGCTTGAACTGCAAACCTTGCAGTTCAAATGGACTTTGCAGTCCAACGCGTTAACCCACAGCACCATATGTAATTGTCACAACTGTAAAGGTAGAAGGCGTGTAACAGAAAGTGGAGAGTAGTTAATCTTACATTACAGGAACAGAGGACCCTAGGACCATAAAGACAGAAGAGGATGAGTGGAATGCAGAATGCTAACCAGAGAAGCAGCGACACCACAGACAGAGGCAGAGGTGAAGACATTGAGAAATAGAGTAGCTGAGGACTCTAGACTCATGGAAAGAGAAAGGCTGTGTGCTGGCATGCAGGAGGCTGGCTTGGAAAATGTGCCCTTTGCTCATTTAAATGACTATATATTCCTATGTGTTTTTGTGTACATAAAAAAAAAAAGAGAGAGAGAGAGAGAAAGAGGGAATAGAGGTAAACACTGTTAACTGATGGTACATGGAGGAAATTGTAATCATTGCAGTGAAACAAAATACGATTGTTTGAGGGCAAAACTGATGTCCTCCCTTGTAAACTATCATTCAATTCACAATAAAAGCTTAATAAAAAAAAAAAGGATGGAATATGCAGAGTCACTATATCAAAATGAAATGGTTAATGTTCAACTATTTCAAGAGGTGGCATATGATCAAGAATCAATGGTACTGAATGAAGAAATCCAACCTGCAGTGAAGGTATTGGTAAAAAAAAACAAGGCTCCAGGAATTGACAGAATACAAACGAAAATCTTTCAACACACTGATGCAGCAGCATTAGAGGTACTCATTCATTCATCTATGCCAAGAAATATGGAAGACAGTTACCTGCCCAACCAATGGGAAGAGACTATATTTGTGCCTATTGCAAAGAGGAGTGACCCAACATAATGTGGAAATCACTGAACAGTATTATTAATACAACATGCAAGTAAAATTTTGCTTAAGATAATTCAAAAACAGTTGCAACAGTTCATTGACAGGGAACTGCCAGAGGCTCAAGCAGATGCAGAAGAAGATAAGAAACTAAGATATCATTTCTGATGTTGGATAGATCGTGGCTGAAAGCAGAAAATATCAGAATGATGTTTACCTGTGCTTCAATGACTATACCAAGGCTTATGACTATGTGGATCGTGACAAGCTATGGGTATTCCAGAACACTTAATTGTGCTCACGAGGAACCAAGAGGCAGTCATTCAAACAAAACAAGGGGACAATGAATGGTTTAAAATCAGGAAGGGTGTGCACCAGGGTTGTATAATTTAACATACTTATTCAATCTGTATCCTAAGCAAACAACCCAGGAAGATGGATGATAAGAACAAGAACGTGGCTTAATAATTGGGGAATACTTATTAACAACCTTTGATATGTAGATGATACAACCTTGCTTGCTGAAAGTAAAGAGGACTTAAACTATTTACAGATGAAGATCAAAGACTACAGCCTTCAGTATGGTACCTCAATGTAAAGAAAACAAAAAACCTCACCACTGGACTAGTAAATAACATCATGATAAATGGAGAAAATATTGAAGTTGTCAAAGACTTAATTTTGCTTGGATTCATTATCATTATCCATGGACGCAGCCATCAAGAAATCAAATGACATATTGCTTTAGGCAAATCTGCTGTACAAGATCTTTTTAAAGTGTTCAAGACCAAAGGTATCAGTTTGAGGACTAAGGTGTGCTTGACCCAAGCTAAGGTATTTTCAGTAGCCTCATATGCATATGAAACTTGGACAATTTTAATAAGGAAGACTGTAAAAGAATAGATACATTTGAGTTATGGTGTTGGAGAAGAATATTAAAAGTACCATGGACCACCACAAGAAACAAACAAATCTATGTGGAAAAAGTACAGCCAGAATGTTCTTTAGAAGGCAGGATGGAGAGACTTCATCTCTCATACTTCATAAATGTATCAGGAGGGACTCGTACCTGGAGAAGGATATTATGCTTAGTAAAGTGGAGTGTTGGTAAAAAAAAAAAAGGAAGACACTCCCCCGCCCCAAACAAGATGGATTGGCACAGTGGCAGCAGCAATGGGCTCAAGTGTAACAACCATAGTGAGGATGGCACAGGACCAGGCAGTGTTTCATTCTATTGTGCATATGGTCACTATGAGTCAGAACCGACTTTATGGCACCCAACAACACTAACAACAGACCAGTGAGTCTCAAACTTGAAGGACTACATGAATCATTGGGGGACCTGGCTAAACTGAAGACGCACCAGTTGATCTGGTTAAGTTCTCAGGGATGCCAATGATGCCAATCTTCAGCCCCACTTTTAATAGCAATAATATTACATGTCTGGCACACAGAAGACATTTTTATTACCTGCAACAATTTCTCATTTGCAGTTTTCATCTCTGTGTACTTCGCTTGTTTTTCAGGAGACATATTTTTGATAATGCCATCTGCTGCTTGCTTTTCCTGTTCAATTTCTTCCTCTACATGGCTAATTTGTTTTTCTTTCCTGAAACCCAAAAGAATAAGATTCAATTAATTTTTTTAAGTCATGGTGTCAATTTAAAAAATTAATTAATCAGTTGTACAAACATACCATTCAAAAGTATTTATTATGTTTACCAATATATATATGGAGCTCTGGTAGCGTAGTGGTTACAAATCGGGCTGTGAACCGCACGGTCAGCAGTTCGAAACTACCAGCCACTCCGCAGGAGAAAGATGAGGCTTTCTGCTCCCGTAAAGATTTATAGCCTCGGAAACCCTGTACAGGGTCGCTATGGGTCGGAACCGACTCGATGGCACTCAACAACAAATATATATATATATATATAGAGAGAGAGAGAGATCATATATACATATATGTATATATGATCTATCTATATATATATAGATAGATATACATATAATCTATATAAAATTTCGTTTGGCCCCATCAGCATAGACTTATTTTACATCTATCTTTTCTCTATCCCTAAATCCTTCTGTTTCCTAACTCTCCATTTTACTATACTAAGAGAACACAAAGAATGCCGCAGAAAAAATATCCTCAAATCACATATAAGACTAATAAGCTTTAGAATAATGGTTTCAAACATCCTTTTGCCAGAAAATTCTTTGACCAAATGAAATCTTGTGTGGAAGCTTACCAGTAGCTCATATAAATCAACGCAGCTCTGAATGAACTAAGGAGTAGGGAAACCTGTAGAGCAATGTGATAAACAAGAATTGTTGCTGTTTGCTGTTGCTGCTAAGTACCATTGAGTTGGTTCCGATTCATAGGAACCCTGTATAGGGCTTCCAAGGGCAACTGGTTGAGTATGAACTGTCAATCTTGTTACCAGTACAGTGCCACACCAGAGCTTTTGATTAACAATAAACTTTGCTTAAATGACCTTTTACTTACTATTTCTTTAATTAAAATGAATATTCCATAAATTATTGCTACATTTTAACACTGCAAAATAGTAAGCTAACTTCACTAAAACAGAGCTACCACTATAAATAGGAGTTATGGTAGCGTAGTGGTTACGAATTGGGCTGCAGACCTCAAGGTCAGCAGTTCAAAAGTACCAGCTGTTCCACAGAAGAAAGATGAGGCTTTCTGCTCCCGTAAAGATTTACAGCCTTGGAAACCCTGTACAGGGTCACTATGAGTTAGAACCGACTCAACAGCACTTAACAACAACAAGAAACTACTAAACTCATTTAAATTTAGGAATTTCCCTACAAACATCTAATAATAGTACATTCAAGGTGAACACAAACAGATAACTAAAATCTCAATTTCTATCTGCATCACAATTGGAGTGGGGGACAACGTCTACTTTGACTGTCAATACTATACTATAGTTTGCTATTGCTTCAACATGATAAATGGGATCACAGAACTTACAAGCAGAGAAGATAATCTATTTAAATTTGATTCCAAAATTCAGGAACTTGATGCCCAGAATAGTTAATCTTTTGGAATTAACTCATTCTGAACTCCATATTTATTCATCACCAACAATGAATTTTATTAATAGTTTCTACTGTAATTAGATGGAAACTGCAACACAACAATTTTGTACAGTACTCCATTTTACAGAGGGGAAACCACAACATGAGAGAATCTTTACTGATTTTCCAAAGGCTATATACTGGCCAATGACCAGATCTTTTGTCATTCTGAGCACGTTATTCCTGCCATAATGTGGCAGTGAAACTGTCAAAGATGGTCATAAAGATGAATAAACAACAACAATGAAAGTCAATGAAAAACAAAACTTGGTGGTATCTTTTTAATTTTAATCTTTTTAAACATAAAATCTTGGACTAACACTTAAATCTAGCAATAATGTATCTTCTAAAAGTATGCATCCTCAATACTACATACTAACTTGCAAATTAAATTCGCTACAGGTTAATGCACTTGACTAAAAGGTCGGTTTGATCTGCTAGGTTGGTGGTTCAAGTTCACCAGCCGCTCTCTAGAAACCCTATACAGGGTTCATTGAGTTGATACCGACTCGATGGCATTTAACAACAACATACAAGTAAAATTTTCATGAATAATTAAAAAACACAAAGGTTAAACACACTGCTTGTTACACTAAAAATGTCAAAGGCGACTTTAAGAAATTAGCCTTCTAGTCAATCTTTTGCTAAGGAAGTCTAGATTGCTTTTTAATCACCTGCCGACTGGGTACAAAGGTTGAAACAAAGTGAAACATAATCATATGACATTCTTTCGTTAAAGGTGCTGAAGAAATGGAATAGATTCCTTCAGCACACCAGCCTCAGAGGCAAAAGCAAAAAGTAAAGGTAAGATCTATATATTTACAGGTTTGATTATTGTTATTGATTTTTTAATAATAAGTATAGCTAAGCTTGTAAATTTGTACAACAATGCTTTGCCTCTAATACGTTATGAAAGAGCAGGAAATATTATATCTTCATTTGATATATTTTGGAAATAATGTGAAATTGGCACATTAGTTAGAGAATCTTTCCCAATTAAAAACAATGGAATATTTCTTTACATTGCTTTTTCTTTTAGGGGGCAAAAAAAAAAGCTTTCATCTACTCAATCAAACTTATAAGATCTTTATTATTTCAAAATACGTTAATTAGAGCATTTCAAAGTAACATTAAAAGAAAAACAAATTTGCACGATGAAAAAAATCAGTTATCATTTGATAATTGTTGAAGCTGGACAATGAGCATTCTACTTACTTGGGATTTTTGTTGGAAATTCCTATTGTTAAAAGTTTTAAGATTTGAAAAAAATCTTTAAACTATTTAAGGGGTGAAGCTAACTGTGAATTATTAACATGTTACTTCAATCTGGCAAAAATGCCTAATAAGGAGCTCTGGTAGTTCAATGGTTACGAATCGGGCTGAGAACCTTAAGATCAGCAGTTCAAAATTACCAGCTGTTCTGTGGGATAAAGATAAGGCTTTCTGCTCCCATAAAGATTTACAGCCATGGAAACCCTGTACAGGGTTGCTATGAGTTAAATGGACTCCACGGCACATAACAACAACAAGTGACAAAACTGCACATACATTTTACTTAACAAAACTAAAATAAGCGCAGCATCTTTTATTTCGTAGCACATAGGTCATATACAAAATAACCAAAAGCTCCTAAAAGTTTGTACTTAAAAAAAAATTCACATACATGCCTGTAAGTGAACAGTAACACCCACAAGGAATGTACTCTTCAAAACCATCAACCATATGAGACAAAACAGGCAGAATTTACCCAAAACCAAAAATATTTATAATCACTAAAGCTCTAAATCACCTGTTGAGATTAAATACTCTCTTTTCTACAGGTCAGCGATATGAAAATCACAGGTATCATGATCTTTTGGCCTCTCTTCATGATATTATTGGATGAAATTCAGGCTTCTAAAACTGTAAGTCTTTACAGCCAAATAAATAAAACATGGTCAGATGAATAAAAGATGCTCAGAGGCACACTTGATATACGCTTAGGAAGATATTGCTGTTGTTAAGTGCTGTTGAGTTGGTTCCAATTTACAGTGACGCTGTATGGGGTTTTTGAAGAGCAAATGGTAGATCTGAACTACCAACTTCGCTGTTAGCAGTCCAGTGCTTAAACTATAGTGCCACACCAGCACTCCATTTAGGAAGATTGCTGTTGTTAAGTGCCGTAGAGTCAATTCCGACCCATAGTGACCCTGTATAGGGTTTCCGAGGAGCAGCTGGTGAACTTGAACCACTGACCTTGCAGTTCAAATGGCTTTGCAGTCTTGCAGATTAACCCACAGCGCCACACCAGGACTCCATTTAGGAAGACAGTGTATAGCAAAACAAGAAAGTAGAGCAGATCAGAGTTATCAAAAGTTTTTAGTTAGCTGTACACATGTATTCAAATCAGATCTTTAAGCCAGATCCTAATATTTAAACGGTGAGTTCTACAAGTGTTGCTTATCTAGAGAAATCTGTAAATTTTCAGTATAAAATTAGAGATTAGTTTCAAGACATAAAAATTATACATCAAAATGTCAAAAACCTTGTAAAAGTTCACATACTTATAAGGGAGATCATAATGAACTGTACTAATATTGCAGTATTTATTGTACTGGGGGGAGGTGGGTGGCATTTCAAACACAAAAGCAGTCAAAGAAGGCCTTTGGGTCTATGGCCACGCAGGATACAGATGTTGCCTGGTTCTTCATTTAATACATGGGTCAATTTTGTTTTAAGATCAATTATTTCCTCTATAAACACTAAACTCTGAGCTGTTAACCTCATAACCTATATATTGGACATTATTTTTTAATTATTTAACATAACCTTAGGTGATGTTTGGTTCTGCTGATTTTTTTTTATTACATATGTCAAAATAATTTCCACATAATAAATGCTAATCTTGCACACTGGTATAATAAATAACAGAATTATTACCTACTATTTATTTACACACACACACACATATTAATGAGAATCTATCAATATTATTTCTATCTGTAATGATTATATGGACTTCTGGTGTGGCGCCATAGGATCAGCACTGGACTGCGAACCACAAGGTTGGTAGTTCAAAACCACCAGCTGCTCCAGATTGGCTAGGAGTCGGAACTGACTCGATGGCACTCAACAACAAATGATTATATAATATTTGGAAGACATCTGTATGGTAAACTAGAATCTCCTTGCTTGGGTATAAACATCAGAATTTCCTTAATCTTTACAATGTATCAGAAGAAAGAAAAATATTAGCTTTTCTTCTTCACATTATAACATCAAATGATTAGATTAGATTTTTCTTCAGAACTATTTCCTTTAATGTCTAAGTGCCTGGATATGAAATTTTGGGAAATTCTACTGACATTTTTCCTAATTACCTCATTTCTAATTTTGTTCTTTTTTAGGAAGTCAAATGCAATTTCACTGAAAAAAATTATTCTTTGATCCCAACGGATATTAATAAAAATGTTACAATACTTGACCTCAGTTATAACCAAGTTACTTTGAATGCTACAGACATAAAGATTCTCCAGATGTATTTTTTACTCACTGAGCTCTACTTAGTTGAAAATAGTATCTTTATCTTGCATAATAACAGCTTTGGTAACCTCTCCAATCTAGAAATTTTAAATATTTGTAAAAATTCCATCTATCTAATTCACCAGGATGCTTTTGTAGGCTTAAATAAACTGAAACAGTTACATCTTTGCAAAAACAAAATAGTTCAACTGGATCCTGATATGTTTTTGCCTGTAAAAAACCTGGTACTTCTGAATCTGCAAGGCAATCTGATGAGTTCTTTTGATGTTCCAAACCAATTTCATCTGGAATCAATAATTTTATATGGAAATCCATGGAACTGCTCTTGTAGATTACTCAATTTGCAAAACTGGTTGAACACATCAAATGTGAGACTAGGTAAGTGATCTTAATTTAAATTAATCAAAACCAAAATGTGATTAACTTTAAATTGTTTCACTGTAGAAAATTTTCTAATATGATGTTTTAAAGAAAAAGAAACTATTCCTGCTTACAGGAGACATAAAGAAACACAGACAAGTGATTGTTAAATAGATGCTCTCGTTTCCCTTCCCCAGGGGTGGGGTGGGGCAACAGAAAAAAACGTTTGGTATATGTGAGATGATTTTATCACTTCATATATTAAGTTTCGATATTCTTTAAGAACTTTTCCTATTCAACTGTCTTGCTGTCAAGATGAAAACAGGTGCCCTGCTTTGTACATTGCAAACCATCCTCTGCCTGAGATCCAGAGTTTAGCTAGAATTTTAATCATAAAATACTAACAAACAAATTAAACAATACAAAGATACTGTATGTACACTGTACTCATAAAATAACTTCATAAATAAACAGGAATATGCATCTTTCCCACATTGTTTTTCTAAGCAAATAAGACAAGAATTTCTTAGGAACCTTAGTCCATAAGAACCACTGCCATCAAGTTGATTCCATCTCGTAGCTCCCCTATATAGGGTTTCTGAGACTAAATCTTTATGGGAGGAGAGACAGTCTTATCTTTCTCTCACAGAGTGGCTGGTGGGTTTGAACTGTTGACCTTCTGATTAGCCTATAGCACCACCAGGGATACTTAATGAGAAATAGAATATATTTTTTAAATCCCAGGTAAGAATTATAAAATATGCTGATCATTCTTATTCTCTATGATAAATGTTAATTTAGTTTTTCTGATTCTCTAGAAAATGAGGAAATCACCTTGTGTAGAAACCCTGATGACCTGAAGAGCTACAGTATTAAAACAGTACCTTATGGTATTGAATGTCACTCAAAATTTTCATCTATACCTGAAGATCTTTATGTCTCTTTCATGTCTATTAGCAATTCAACGTTTAATCATTCTTTGAACAATTTAACAAGAAATTCAGGTAATGTACTGGTTTTAAATACATCACTTAAGTTATACTAAATAAACTGAAGTACTCATTTTAAGTTAAAATTTCAAGAAACAATGTAAATCAACATTTTAACAGAGTAACAAAATACTGGGTTTTCAGCAGGCTCTGCTAGTTACTAGCCAGATGCCACTGTGCAATTATTTAACTTCTTTGAACCTTGGCGGTGGTGGTTATATGCCGTCAACTCGGTTCCTACTCATAGTAGCCCTGTATAGAGTTTCCAAGGCTTTAAATCTTTATGGAAGCAGAAGGCCTCTCTCTCACACAGAAAGTGGTGGGTTTGAATAACTAACCTTGCAGTTAGCAGCCCAAGGCATAACCCACTAGGCCATCAGGGTTCCTTAACTGGTATTAATCAATTAAGATGGTCTTAAGTAAAGTTAAAAATGAAAAGATATTTTTAACTACACTATGAAATACTTTTTATTTTTGCTTTAGTAACTTTTACCTAAACAAAACTGTGATGTATGTTCTTTCCCAAGATTAGAGTGTAAGAGAGTAAGTCAAAACGTATTGCTACTATAGTTCCAGTTCATACATGCACAGGTTTATTTATTCCAAACAAAACATGGTTACACATGTCTCTGTCACCTGTGGATGGCTGCAAACAAGTTCTCTCAGCAATACACTTGTCTTAGTCTTGTTAGGGAGCCTTCAAAAAAGATCCAATCAAAACACTGGCTTCTGAGGGTATCTGCTGCGTCAGTATAATTCAAGGCCGAGAGGTCAGCTCATAAGATCATGACAACTACTTTTAGGGATTTCTAAGGGGTTGTCTTGATAGATTTTCTTGATAAGTCAGGGCTTATTCAAAATAAATTTTAGAAAACTTAAAAAGAGCGCTGATTACAAAAAAAGTCAGGAGTGAGGAAGGCTGAGTTGAGTAATTTTTTTCCATCCCAAAAATGCACCTGGCCGTCCTAGCATTTTCTTGGGAAACCATACCCCATTCACCCTAGAGCCCTGATCTTGTCCTTTCAGACTTCTTTTTGTTCCCAAAGTTCAAAGAACATCGGAAAAGAACACAATATGAGTCCCTGAAGAATGCCAAAACTGACATTTTGAAGTGGTATAAATCAAAGAGCGCAGAATTCTTTGGGGAAGGGTTGTTGCTGTTGTTGTTAAGTGCCATTGAGTCAGTTCTGACTCAGAGTGACCCTACATTGGGTTTCTGAGGAGCGGCTGATGTGTTTGAATCGCCGACCTTGAGGTTCAAACTGACCTTATGGACGAGTGCTCATGGAAGCAATGCCTTCAGAAGTGAATAGACCTAGACGGTGGCTATGTCAAAAACTGTAGCTTCACATTTTTGATATTTTTGTTTAATGAAAGTTTCTGTGATTTTTTGTAGCAATACTTTTTGATTTACCCTGTATTAGGATATTATTTTTTGTCAATTTAACAAAATCTCTCTCTCTCTCTCTCTCTCTCTCTGTGTGTCTCTCTCTCTGTCTTGGCATTCCATTTAAGAACAAGAATATTTTGGGAAAAGTTGGGCCTTTCTTGTAGGTGTTGTTGTCACTGTACTGATGACTTCATTCCTCATTTCTCTGACTACCAAATGCCAAAAATGGTATAATTTTCTGCTTAGTTACAACCATCATCGCCTAGAAGAGCATGAAGCAGAAACCTATGAAGATGGCTTCACTGGCAATACAACTTCTCTTTCACTGTCACCTGACACAAACGCTGAAGATACAACAATAATATTTGAACAACTACATTCATTTGTGGTAGATGACGATGGATTTATTGAAGACAAATATATAGATACCCATGAATTACGTGAAGAAAATTAATTTTATGGTTGATATTCTGTAAAAAATATTATCTGTCCATTCACAATTTAGACATGGAAATCCTGATATGTGATATATGCCAACTACAGCTAACACACATTCATCATAACTGCAATATACAATTAATATCATTAAATTATATATTTTTCCATTAGTACTGAACAAGCAAGTCAAAATACAATAACTGATATTTCTCTGTAATAGTTACACAGTTAAACTACAACACCAGCATTACGATTCTCAGCAGTAGCTATGAGATCATACATACTAGAAAGGAAAAGCTACAAAGTAAGGTGTTGTTGTTGTTAAGTGTCGTCGAGTCTATTCCGATTCTTAGTGACCCTGCACAAGGTTTCTGAGGAGCATCTGGAGGGTTTGAACAACCAAGCTCGTGGTTCACAGTCCAGCACTTATCCTATACTGCTATACGAGGAGTCAACAGTAAGGTATTGACTTAAAATGAACTAATTCTCATATTGACAAGGACATTTGAATGGAATACATCTTTAATTATACTAAAGCTCCAAACAGCAAAGAAAAAAAAAAGGATGGGTTGTATTAATATCATTATGAGTCAAAGTAAGGAACAGTGACAAATTGACAATACACAGAGGTTAATTTTATGCTCATAGTGTAAAGTCACAGAACTGAAAAAATATTTTTTTTAAATATGTGGCCTGAGTTAGCACAATAAATTTTCTTAAAATTTAGTAGCAATTTAAAGCATAAGCACAATATTTGGGCCTAATCCCTAAAAAGCGGCAACTGAATTAGTTATAAAGAAAGCCTATCGCCACAATGCATGCTTGCCACACTGAACGACAACAGTGACTTCTAAAGTGGGCATCAGAATTGTCTAGAAACTGTGTTTTTAAAAATACATATATTTTCCTCTCTCAGGGATATTGTTATAAAAATAGGCATGAGCTGGCACAGAGCCATCTTCAATTGTTTCATGGACAGCTATTTGGAGAATAGATTTCCAAATCATTTTCTAGAACAGTGTTCCAGAAAGACATTCAGAAGTATTGCAAAAAAAAAAGTCCAGGGTCATTCTAGTATAGGAAACACTGGATTTAAGGAAAATTAAAAATATTCTTTACCTTTACCTTTGGACTTTCCTGTGTCTTTACTAAGCTAAACTGCTCCCTGACTCTTCAAGAGCAAAATTTCACTATTTTCCAAACTTAATTCACAACAAAAACCTTTCTTCAAGGGAAGTATTGTAAGAGCTTGTATCACAATAATGGTCCAAAAAGCATAGTTTAGAAAACACAGGTCTTGAGACTTAGCTATTATAGGAGGAAGCTAAACTATTTGAAAATTTCTTATAATCAATTAGCTGTAATCATAATTTTATTAACTTAATAGTACAAACAGTGGCATTAAGAACTGTAGCACAATCTATATTTTACCATCCACACATGGGGAAATGAAGCTTATTTACCCATGTCCTTTGGAGTCCTGATGTGGCGCTGTGGGTTATTGTGCCAGACTGCAAAGCCATTTGAACTGCAAGGCTGGCGGTTCAAGCTCACCAGCTGCTCCTTGGAAACCCTATTCAGGGTCTCTATGGGCCAGAATCGACTTGATGGCACTTAACAACAACAACCCATATCCTTTAAAGATAGCGAAGTATCTCTGATACAATGAAATATATTTATAAGTGAAATAATATTAATGCTGGGATTTTATTCATCATAATACTGGGAGAAGAAATTGGCTAGAAGTTTGGGTGGAACAAATGGTACTTGGAGCTGGAAGAAGGGATAAGCGAGTGTAATATAGTATTTCATTTCTGTATATATCCAAATTTCTCATAATGATGTTTATTAAGTGAGTATTTACTTGATAATACCTTAGAAGAGACTAAAAATAGATTTATATCTTAATGTATAGTTAGTTTTAAAGTTATATAAATAGTAAATTAAGTTGAAAGTCCATTGAAGGAAAATAAACACTGTTTAGGATGGTATGTCCTATGGAAAAAAAAATAATGGACTAACTTATAATGCGTATTTGCTTGTGTTTATAAGGAACATGCTTCCAATAAAGGATATAAATGTTTTATGTCTCATACTTCCAAATAGTTAATATCAATAATAATTTATTATCCTAAACCTTAATAAGTCTTGCAAGAACACATGGTCTATCCTTCTGCCAAAATATCATTTCCTAATTTTAAAATATAAATATTAACATTGAGAAATACCATGAAATATCATTTTAATTGGGCAACAGCTATATGTAGCTACATAATCAAACCCTCTCACAATTCTATTCTTAGACTGGGTATTTAACAATGCCTGGCTAAACAACAACAAAAACCAGCTCTAAAATTGTAATTGTTGTTAAGGCATGGAGTGGGTTTTGACTCATAGTGCCCCTGTATAGGGTTTCTGAGGCTGTACATCTTTGTAGGAGCAGAAAACCTCATCTTTTTTCTGCAGAGCAGCTGGTAGGCTCAAACCGCCAATCGGTGGTTCACAATCAGTGCTTATACTACAGCGCTACTGCACTCCCAAAATTGTAACTGTGTATGTTTTGTTTGTGTTTTACATTTTACCTTGAGTAAAGGTTTACAGAGCAGATCACTAGCTTTATATTCAACAAAGCGTCCATTTTGTTTCATCTCAATGATTGCAATGTAACATCAGTAACTCCACTACTTCCTTCTTGTTTTCATTCCTCCTTTTCCCCAATATTTCTGAATTTTAGTTATATATTTTTTAAAGGACAATTGATTTTAATTAATACCAAACTAGAAAATGTAGACATCACAATTGGAAGAGAATGCTTAGTTGAGGGTAGCACATGAAAGTGAATTAAGTATTCTAAGTATTATTATAGGAATATGAGTATATCAAGGATACACTATAACCAACTTATTAGGAATACATGGTCTATACTGTACAGTAAACAGCAGTCTAGAAGAGAATAAAAACAGACTTTTCACACCTGCCTTTTAAGGCCTGGCATTTCCTGTTCTCTCTGAATGTTCAAAGGCAAGGGAAATTCTTAGGGTGGCCATCTGGGTAACACATAAAATAAGTTTGTCATAAAAATAACTTTTGTCCTGTTTTTAAATTTCTGCTTGGAAGGGTCAGAAGAACCTATTTTACTTGGAAAGTCTCAATTTAAAAACTACAGATATTAAGTGTTGAAACTGGTGACATTTTCAGGACAAATTACTACATTTAAGAAATCGTTTCTTTTATCAACTGAACCAATAAACATAAAAATCGATGGCAATTTTATAATCAGGGAATTCTCTTTTTGGATAAAATTTATCTGCAAACCATGTACATATATAATATTCATAAATTTGACCTGGCATTATATAACTTGTAGACAAGTGATCATTTACATAAAAAATGTGCTAAAACTCCATAAGGTTCTCAAGGAATTATAATTTATGCACTTCTCATTCCTTAAGTACTTGGTGAAGTATTTTTTATATGTTGTTTTTTGTGGTGTGCTGCTGAGTTGGTTCCAACACATACTGACACTGTATAGAGTCTCCTAAGAAGCAGCTTGTGGGTTTGAACGACTGACCTATTAGTTAGCAGTCTGGTGCTTATCGTCCAGTGCCACAGTGCCATACCAGGACATGAGTAATAGCTGCTAAGTGGTTTAAAACTAAGATAGCAAAAAAAAAGAGGAAAGTATGCAAGTAAGAATTTGATCAGCATGAATGGAATTTTCTTTGTAAAAGCAAAGATACTTCCAGTATTTTCAGTTTTTAAACAACATAGTTTAAGAGAATCAAATGATTGTTGTTGTTAAGTGCCGTTAAGTTGGTTCTGACCCATAGCGACCCTGTATAGATAGGGTTTCCAAGGAGCATATGGTGAGCTTGAACCACCATCCTTGCAGTTCAAACGGCTTTGCAGCCTGGCGCATTAGCCCATAGTGCTACACCAAAAAAAAAAAAAAAAAAAAAAAAGATTTCATTTTTAATCAACAGGAGAATTATATTTATCTTTCAAATATTTTATCATTTTATTTCAATAGCCTATTTTTCATCAAATGTTTACTGTATAATGTAGAGAAAACATGACAGTATATTTGGTGTTATACAATTTGGTAATTTTGGTTAATTATTGTCTTTGCTCTCAAGGAGATTAAAAATATTGAGAAGTTTCTGGAATAAAACATGTGTTTTTTTGTGTGTGCAGACAATAGTTTATCTTTGTTTCTCTGCATTGCCTTTTTGTTATTAAATATCACGAAGTTGGTTCTGACTTATAGCAACCCTGTGTAGAATTTCAAGGAGCGGCTGGTGAATTTGAACTGCCGACCTTACGGTTCAAACCAACCTTGTGGTACAGTGTTTATCCTACAGTGCCATTCCAGGACTCCTTGCATTGCCTTGTTGTTAAGTGCCATCGAGTCAGTTGCAACTCATAGCGACAGGGAGCGACAGGTGAGCTTGAACCGCTGACCTTGCAGTTCAAACTGACTTTGCAGGCCAGCACATTAACCCGCAGCGCCACACCAGGATTCTGCATTGCTGCAGACAATATTTAATTAAGGTCAAAGAGGTGATAAAAACTAATTATGTTGTTGTTCTTAAGTGCTGTTGAGTCATTTCCGACCCATAGCGACCCTGTATAGGGCTTCCAAGAAGCAGCTGGTGAGCTTGAACTGCCGACCTTGCAGTTCAAACGGCTTTGCAGTCTGGTACATTAACCCACAGTGCTACACCAGGACTCTAACATCGGGCTGCTAACTTCAAGATTGGCAGTTCGAAACTACCAGCTGTTCCGCGGGAGAAAGATGAGGCTTTCTGCTCCCATAAAGATTTACAGCCTCGGAAACCCTGTACAGGGTCGCTATGAGTCGGAACCGACTCCACAGCACATAACCACCACTGTATCAAATCTGGAGTACTGGTATGGCACTGTAGGATAAGCACTGTAGGATAAGCTAACTGAAAGGTCGCTGGTTCAAACTCACCAGCTGCTCTTCAAAAACCCTATGAGTTGGAACTATCATAACAACTAAATGATAGTTAACAACATCAAATCTACTGTGTAGGGATTACTGTCACTGCTATATTTTATTACCGAAGTCAAAGTTAGTTGGTATTTGGTTGCTAGTCAGGAGTTCTGGTGTGGCACACTGGACCGCTAACCTCAAGGTCAGCAGTTTAAATCAATCAGCCAGCCACTCCTTAGAAACCCTATACAGTGTTGTTATGAGTTGGAAGTGACTCAACAGTACTTCACAATAACAGCAATATAAAGATTGACGTATAACTACTTCTATGACTTAGATTACTAATATAATACTAAATGTCAATGCTAATGAGATGAGGTAAATAGACAGCTGACTAACATGATTTTCTTTAGATTCAGGCTGAAATGTCACAATTTAATTAAAATGCTCGGGTTAAAATATTAAATGGTAAGAAAAAAGTATACTTATCCATCTATGATTTTAAGCTTCAAAAGCAGAAATCCAGTTCATGTAATCTGTGTAAATAATTCTATGTACAGGATTTAGGCACTTAATGGCAAATGAAGATAAGAGATATGTAAACAATAAAATATGCGTTGCAATTATCTAAGTGATTTACATTTTTAAAAAGGGAAGGGGGGAAAATAGTTCACAAAAAATTGTAAGAGAATAAATGACTCAGAAGGTTAACTACCAAAAGCTTACTTAAAACTGTTTGGTTTTTTAAATATATTGTACTTACGCTTGTCTTTCAGTAAATATGATATCCATACTTTGTGTTTCACGATCATTTTGAGCTTTAAGCTGAGTAAACAGTTAACCACAGGAGTTAGTGATTTTAAAAACTAGCCATAAAACCTATTTCTTTAAAGTTATTCTGGTTCTGTACTGAATGAGATTATTTTACTTATCCTAATGACATGCAAAGTTTTTTTTAATAACACACTGTTTCATTTAACATAGAACACTGGATAAAAAGATACAATGTTTTACAAGGTGTTATAATCTCAGACAGAATAATTAATTATTCTTTAGTGACCTGTCAGAAAGTCCACTGAAAATTTATGTAATCAGCTTTTGAAGACTTTACTGGGAGGCTCAATAAATAACAATTATTTAAATTGAATTTAGACCCAACACAAGCTTTATTATCAAACCATTCACAATTTTACCAGAGTACTCATATTGGATTCTGCCTGTGTATATCTGGCCCCAGATTTCATTCTGTCCCAAATTATGAATAAAACATGTAAAGGAGTTTTTACTTTTTACATTTGTCATTTAAAATATCAATTTAATCTGTGCTCTGTCCTCTGAAGCTAAAACTAAATTGACTAAATTATCATGCTTTTCAACCTAAAACTTGGGAGTCATTAAAAAAAGATTTTGCTTTAAAAAAATGTGTCTCTGATCATGAAGATACATTATAAACTGAGTTATAAATTATGTTATTCTTCTTCTTTTGAAGAATAATAACAAAATCAAGCTAGTTATTAACATATTTTATTCTTTTCAAGCAAATAAACTAAGGATGTTGAACACTACTCTCACTTATCAATCAAAAATTAGGATTATGTCTACTATCACACTACATATATGACTTCTCTCCCTTTCTTATGAATTCATGTAATGGTTCCATTTGAGTACTCGTCTCAATTTATGCAAATATTAAACCAGAAATAATGTAAAACTAATGTGCATATAATGACATGTACATAGCACTTCTTAACTAATGTTCAGTGTGAGGCCAGTTCACACATAGTTTGGTAAAAAAGATACACTAAAAGTTTTTAATGAGCAACTACGGAAACAATTATAGGAGGTATGGATGATCCGAGTAATACCCATACATCAGGCCCATTAAGATTTTATCAAACTAGATAAAATGACTTGTTCTAGATAAAAATGATTTGTTTTGGAGGATATGACTTATGCAGCTCTATTGCTTATATATATAAAATAAATGTTCTTACCATGTTATAATCATTCATTACTTCTTCCATCTCAGTATTGGTATTAAGTTTATCTACCAACTTAAAAAAATATATGTTACGAGATAGAGTCTGCTAGTTTTCATAAATTTTTTCTATAATTCATACAATTCTGTGCTCGATATTACAAATGATAAACTCATCTAAGTCAAATATCAATACTGCTATTCTTGTTGTTAACTGCCATCAAGTCAGTTCCAATTCATAGAGAGACTGTATAGGGTTTCCAAGGAGCAGCTAGTGAGTTTGAACCATACACCTCGTGGTTCAAACTGATCTTGTAGTCCAGTGCTTATCCTACAGTGCCATATCAGGACTCTAATTCAAAGCATTTCATATTCTAAGATAAAAACTAATACTGCACTACCTTAGAAAGCAATTACTATGTATTTAGCCAATTGTTGTTAAGTGCTGTCGAGTCAATACTGGCTCATAGCTACCCCGTATAAGGTTTCCAAGGAGTAGCTGGTGGGTTTGAACTTCCAATATTGCGATTAGCAGTCCAGTGGTTTTCCTACAGTATCACACTAGTGCTCCTATACTTGGCCAATAGTAACTAAATTTGAAGGGATTGAAAAGTGAGCAATAATGAATTATTCTTTCTACAGATCATACCAAGAAGAAATATACCTGCTCTGAAAAGATGTTTGAGCTTGTAAAGAAGGCCTTGTTCTATGCCATTGAAGTTTCCTACTTTTTGTTGTTGTTATTAGATCCATGGGGTTGGTTCCAACTCATAGCGACCTTACTAGGCACAACATAAGGAAACAATGTCCGGTATTGCAACAATCTTCACAATTGTTAAGCTTGAAGCCATTGCTGCTGCCATAGTACAAATTCATATCATTGGGGGCATTCCTCTTTTTCACAGACCCTCTACTTACCTAGCATGATGTCCTTCTCCAGGGGCTGATGCCTCCTGATAATATGTCTGAAGTATGAGAGATGAAGTTTTACCATCCTGGCTTCTAAGGAACATTCTGACTGTATTTCTTTCAACACAGATTTATTTGTTCTTCAAGCAGTCAATGCACTTGTGATATTTTTCTGCAACATCGTAACTCAAATACATCAATTCTGCTACAATCTTCCTTATTCACTATCCAACTTTCACATGCATATGAAGATAATGAAAATACCATGGCTTGAGTCAGGCACACCTTTGCCCTCAAACTGACACCTTTGCTCTTCAACACTTTAAATAGGTCTTGTACAGCAGATTTGCCTAATACAATATGTTGTTTGATTTCTTGACTGCTGCTTCCATTTGTATTGATAGTGGATCCAAGCTAAATGAAGTTTTTAACAATTTCAATTTTTTCTCCACTTATAATAATGTTGTTTATTAAACCAGTTGTAGGGGTTGTATTATCTGCGTATCACAGGTTGTTAATGAGTCTTCCTCCAATCCTGATGCCACAATCTTCTTCATATAATCCAACTTCTTGGGTTATTTGCTCAGCATACAAATTGAATTGTTGTTATTGCTGTTGTTGTTAAATGCCATTGAGTCAGATCCTACAGAGCCACACCAGGACCCAGCAGATTGAGTAAGTATGGTGAAAGAAGGTGTACCTTAGTACACACCTTTACTGATTTTAAAGCATTCAATGTCTCCTTTTCTATTTGAACAACTGCCTCTTGGTCTGTGTACAGGTTCCTCATGAGCAAAATTAGTGTTCCAAAATACTCATTCTCTGCAATGTTGTCCATAGCTTGTCATAATCCACACAGTCAAAAACCTTTTGTTGTTGTTGTTATTAGGTGCCATCGAGTCGGTACCGACACATAGCGACCCTATGTACAACAAACAAACAATGCTCGGTCCTGGACCAACCTCACAATTGTTGCCATGCTTGAGCCCATTGATGCTACCACATTGCCAATACATTCCATGTTCCGATTATTAGTGGATGTTTACAGCTGTTTCTCTTCATTTTGAGTTGTGACCCATCAGCAAATGAAGGTCCCACGGGTTTTATTCCCATGGGCTTTACTCCATTCGCATCATCATGGTCAATGGTCATTAAAGTTCAGGTAAATGTCTTTCTGGTATTCTCTGCATTCAGTAAAGATTCATCTTATGTCAACAGAGATATTCATTTTATGTCCTCATCTGAATCCAGCTTTCACCTCTGGTAGTTACTTGTCAAGTATTGCTGCAGCCATTTTTGAATTATCTTTAGCAAAATTTTACTTGCATGAGATATTAATGATATTGTCTGATGATTTCCGTATTCCATTGGGTCACCTCTCTTTGGAACGGGAACAAGTATGGATCTCTTCCAATCAGTTGTACAGGTAGCTGTCTTAAAAATTTCTTAGCATAGATGAGTGAATGCCTCAGGGCTGCATCAGTTTGTTGAAATTTTTCAATTTGTATTCTATCAGTTCCTGGAGGCTTGTACTTTGCCAATGCCTCACTGCATCTTTGACTTCTTTCTTCAGTAGCATTGGCTATCTCTTGAAATGGCTGAACTTCATTCATTTCTTTTTGGTACAGTGACTGTGTATTCCTTTCACCTTCTTTTGATGTTTTCTACATTATTCAACATTTTGCCCATAGTATCCTTCAACATTGTTTAAGCTGAGTTTTGAATTTTTTTCTTCAGTTCTTTCAGTTTGATAAATGCTGAGCGTTTTCTTCCCTTTTGATTCTCTAACTCCAGGTCTTCGCACATTTCAGTATAACTGATTTTGTCTTCTTGAGCTGACATTTGGGATTTTGTTCAGTTCTTTTACTTATTAATTTCTTACATTTGCTTTAGCATGTCTACACTGAAAGCAAGCTTCGGAGTTCCTTCTAACAGCCATTTTGTCTTTTCCTTCTTTCTTGTCTTTTTAATGATTTTTTTACTGTAGAGTTCATCCAATTGTATCAGATTACTCTTTTTTTCCCTCTTCTTTCTTCTTCTAGTTGAGCTCTGATCCTCCAGTCATGGAAGCCAGGTCAAATGGGTATTATCTGCAAGTGTGGGTGTTCTTATGCATATGCCCTCTCTTCTTAGCAGCTGGACGCTTCACTCTCCACTCTAGTCTTCTGTGGCTATGTCACTGACTTTGGGCCCAATAGTCCCCAGGTCTTGCCACACTGCTGGCCAACCAGGTCTCCATCTGGGTTTACAGGGGTCTATTGAACATTGTAGGGCGTAGTTCGCAGCTTCATTGCTGTTTCCCCTCACTTCCCCTTACCGGTGACAAAAGTGGTCACCAATCGGAGCATGTATTCCCACTGAGTCTTAGTCTTGGAAGGGGGTTTACTCTGTGGGGATGCTACCAAATGCCTTGATGTCTCCTGGGCAAGCAACTTGCTTGTTCTTGTAGTAATCAGTCAGACTGCCTATATTGTTTTATATTTTTCCTGTCGGTCTTTCTTTCAAGAAGTATCTTCTGTTCTTTTAGGGCTCCAGGCTGGTCTTCTTGTCCTTTCAAGAGGAAATTTCCCACCTCAGATGATTCTGGATGCGGTTCAGGATTCCACCAATGGTATTATGTAATGCAGAGGCTCCTCAGGAAGCCTCCTTCACTGAGCACGTTGTAGCCCCATTTTAGGTATTCCAATCAGTTATAGGCAGAAGACGACTTATAAGCTTTCTATGGTGATATTCCTGGCTATTCCTTTCTCTACCCTTCAAGTGTCTATTTTATAATGGTATGCCAGTGAAACCAAGTTTCAAAAAACAACCGAGCATCTTAACATTATTTCCCCCTTTTCCCCAATCCAACCATGTTTCAATTCCTGTATGCCAGAGCCCATTTGTTCCAAGGTTGTGGATACATCATTATTTACCTCTGTCCCACTTAGCCCATGCAAACCTGCCTGTTTTCCCATCCGCTTTGTTCTTCCATTCCACTCCACCTTCTTGTGTATTGGCCCCTCCCTAGTCTATCCAAATTATCCTGTGTCTTATTCCCTACCTTGTGCTCCACCTTCCCCTCCCCTCCACTCACTCCACCACACAGATTCCAGTAACCAGTTAAGACTACCCCCTCCCCCTCTTTAGTATGGGTTCTTTTTCTTAGTCTTTTACACTAGTGGTTCTATGCCGTATTTCTCCTTTTGTGGCTGACTAATTTCACTAAACATAATGCCCTCAAGGTTCATCCATGTTATACGGTGGCTTGCAGCTTACTTGTTATTCTTCAAGGTAGCATAGTATTCCATTGTGTGTATGTACCACAGTTTGTTTATTCATTCTTCGGTTGATGGGCACTTAGGCTGTCTCTATCTTTTTGCTATTGTAAATAGCGCTGCTATGAACATTGGTGTGCATATATCTACTCGATTTACGGCTCGTATTTCTTGCGGGTAATACCAAGTAGAGGAATTGCTGGATCAAAAGGTATTCCTATTTCTAACCTTGAGGAAGCACCATATTGCTTTCCAGAGAGGTTGGACCATTTTGCAATACTGCCAGCAATGCAGGAGTGTCCCGGTCTCTCCAAATCCCCACCAGCATTTATTGTCCTCTACTTTTTTGATGTTTGCTGTTATTGCTGGTGTGAGATTCTTTCTCACTGTTGTTTTGATTTGCATCTCACTGATGGCTAGTGATCATGAAAATTTTTTCATATGTTTGTTGGCTACAAGGATGTCCTCCTTGGTGAAGTGTCTGCTCATGTCCTGTACCCATTTTGCAATTGAGTTATTTGTCTTTTTCTTGTAGAGGTGTTGTAGTTTTTTATATATTTAAGAAATGAGTTCCTTGTCTGATATGTGATCGCAAAAGATTTTTTCCCATTTAGTGGTTTCCCTTTTTACTCTTCTGGTGAACTCTTTTGAAGCACATAAGTTTTTAATTTTTAGTATGTCCCAATCATCTATTTTGTCTACTTTTGTTTGTGTAGTTTTCAAAGTATTTGGTAGCCTGTGTAGTCCATGAATTAGTGCCCTCACATTTGTCCCTATTTTTTCATTGATGGCCTTCATATTCTGGGATTCACATTTAGGTCTTTAATAAATGTTGAGTTGGTTTTTGTATAATGTGTGAGGGTAAAGGTCTTGTTTCAATCTTTTGCACATTGCTTTCCAGTTCTGCCAGCACCATCTCTTGAAGAGACTATCAGCTCCCCATGTGATATATTTAGGTTGTTTGTCAAAAATCAGTTGGCTATACGGATGGGTTAACTTCTAGATTCTCGATTCCGTTCCATTGATCTATGTATCTTTCATTGTTCCTGTACCAAGCTGTTTTGACCACTGTAGCTGGGTAATAAATTTTGAAGTCAGGGAGTGAGAGGTTTCCAACCTTCTTCTTCTTCTTCTTCTTAAGCAGTGCTTTGCTTATCCTGGGTCTCTTTCCTTTCAATATAAAGTTTGTAATTTTTTTTCCATCTCTTTGAAGAGTGACCTTGGAATCTGGATTGGGATTGCATTATGTGTGTAAACTGCTTTGGGCAGTATTGACATTTTCACAATGTTTAAGTCTTCCTATCCAGGAACATGGTACATTCTTCCATTTTTGTAGGTCTCTTTAGGTTTCTTGTAGTAGTGTTTTGCAGTTTTCTTTGTATAAGTCCTTTGTTTCTCTGGTTACATTTATTCCTAAATATTTCATCCTTTGGACGGCTATTGTAAATTGTATTGCTTTCCTAATGTCTTTTTCAGCGCTGTCGTTTTGGGTCTAGAGGAATCCAACTGATTTTTGTATGTTGATCTTATATCCTGACACTTTGTTACATCTTCCAATGAGGTCTAGTAGCTTTTTTACTGAGTCTTGGGGGTTTTCTATGTACAGGATCATATCATCTGCAAATAGAGAGAGTTTTACTTCCTCTTTGCCAATTTGGATGCCTTTAGTTTCCCTGTCTTGCCATATAGATCTTGCTAAGACTTCCAGCACAACATTGAATAGGAGTGGTGACAAAGGGGATCTTTCTCTGGTTCTTATTCGCAAAGGGAAGGCTTTTAGTTTCTCTCCATTGAGAGTAACTTAAGATGATGTTTCTGTATATATGCTATTAATTATGTTGAGAAATTTCCCTTCAATTCCTACCTCATTGAGTGTTTTTATCAGGAATGGATGTTGGATGTAGTCAAATGCCTTTTCTGCATCAATCAATATGATCATGTGGTTCTTTTCTTATGAGGTCCAGTTGCCTGATTGTGTTGTTTCCTTCTTCTGTGTATTTGTCAAGTTTCTTTCTGGTTTTTCTATCCATTTTTGAAAGTTGTGTATTAAAACTACCCACTATTATTGTAGATTCATCTATTTCTTATCTTCAAATCAATTAGAGTTTGCTTTATATATTTTGGAGCTCTTTCATTGGGAGCATAGATATTTATTATTGTTATGTAATCTTCTTCAATTGTCCCTTCAATCATGAGATAATGTCCATCTTTATCTATTATGCTGCTTTCTGCCTTTAAGTTTATTTTATCAGCGATTAGTATTGCCTCTCCTTTTCGTTTTTTACTGCAGTTTGCTTGGTATATTTTTTTTCCATGCTTTGATTTTTAATCTGTTCTTGTCTCTGTGTGTGAGATGTCTCTTACAGACAGCATATTGAAGGATCTTGATTTTTTATCCATTCTGCCACTCTCTGTCTTTTTACTGGTTCATTTACTGTTTATATTCAGTATAATTATCTATAGGTATGGATTAATTGCTGCCATTATGTTTGTTTTTTTGTGGTGTTACTGCTTTCTTTGTTCTGTGTGTCTTCCTTTGCTGAGTTCATGCTTTTATGTTTTTTCTTGTGAGTTTTGTTATAGTTTTAATGTTTCCATGTTCTTGGATTTTCATTTTCTTGGTATGTTGTGAAGTGTTAATATTCTTTGAAGTTACCTTATAGTCCAGTAATTTTCCCCTCCATTTAGTGTAGTCTACTTTATCCTGTAATCTACCTGATCTCCTCACCATCTGGATCTCTGTTCCTATGTGTTCACCTTCTTTTACATTGTAATTGTTTTGATCATAGACTGACCTCCCAGATTCTCTGAGTTTGTTCTTATAGTTTTGTTCTATTTTTGACTCTTCCATCTGTTGATTTAGTTCTGGGAGGTGCTGCCATGTATGTCAATCTCCGGTTGTTGTCTGTTCTTGTTGATTCTCAGTCCACAGAACTCCCTTTAGGATGTTTTTCATAAAAATCCCTTAGCTTCTGTTTATCCTGGAATGTTTTGATTACACCATAGTATTTGATTAATAACGTTTCTGGATAATGGATTCTTGGTTGACAGTTTTTTTCTTTCAAGGTTTTATATATGTCTCCCCATTGCCTTCTTGATTGCACAGTTTCTGCTGAGAGATCCCAGCTTAATTTGACTTGCTTGCCTTTGTATGTAACACTTCTGTTTTCCCTAGCTGCTTTAATGAGTGTCTCCTTATCTTTGATTATGGAGAGCTTGATTATGATATGTCTCGGTAACTTTCTTTTGGGGTCTATCTTTCCTGGGGTTCCTTCAGCTTCTTGAATGTTTATCTTTTCACTTTTCAGAATGTTAGAGAGATTTTCTTCCAGAAGTTCTTTTAACTATTTCCTCTGTGGACTTGTGTGATTCTTCTTGTTCTGGAATGCCGATGATAATTCTTAAGTTATTCCTCTTCATGTTGTCCAAATGAATCTTAGACCTACTTCAGATTTCTTTATCCCTTTTTCTGTTTGCTTTTGTATCTTTGTGGTATTGTGTCTTCCAGCTCACTGGTTCTGCCTTCCATCTCTTCTAGTCTACTCCTTTGCCCTTTCAGTGTATTGTCTATTTCTGATATTCTATTATTGATCATTTGGACCTCTTTCTGTAGGTTTTGAATTGTTTCCAATGCTGTGTGTCTATCTTATTTGATTGTACTTGTAGTGCTTTCCTGACTTCCTTACTTTTCTCAACTCCATTGTAAAATGTTTTAAAACATTTTATAATCATTTTTCTGAATTCCTTCTCAGGCATTTCCAAGACCTGCCTTCCTTCCAGAATGTTGTCCAGGTAGACCTCTAGGTCATTTGTCTCAGACATTTTATCTTGTTTCTGGACATGTGCTGATATGGCCATCTGCTTTTGCTTTTTGGACATGTTTACTGTTTATCTGTGGCATTAATACTTAATTGAGTATGTATTTGGGTATTTTTTATGCTTTCTGACTGCTTCCAGGTAGATGTGATCAGGATGTTGGCTTCCCTTTTCACTCTTCTTATGGCTTAATACAGAGTAACTTTCACAGGTTTTGACTGCCTCTGTGGTGTATGGCAGTTGGTATTGGTTCTTACCTGGATTTTGGTGTTTTATAGAGTGTGATTATAGCTTTACTATATGGCAGCAGTTGCTGTCTCTTCTTGGTTAACATAGGGAGAGAAAGAGTCCCCCAGAGGTGGAAGGCAGAGCATAAAACAGCAAAACAACAACAACAACAAAAACTAGACTGGATACTATAGTTTATAATTGCAGAGAAGAGAGAGGAGGGAGAGAAGAAAAAAAATCTGTAGCCTAATAGGAGTATGATTTTAATGTCTTCTTTTAGCTTCTTTACTTCAAAGCTGTTTGATAGATGTCAAGATGCCACTCTTGGTTGTTATGCTATACCTCAGGTTTTAATTTAATTTTCAGCCTGTTTAGTTTTTAAATTCCCTTTCCCTCTCCAAACCCCTTGTTCTGGCTTTTTCCATATTTTAAAAAGCACAGTCAGGGCTGGCTCTTGGGCTGAGAGTATCTGTGTGCATGCGTGGCAGATGAACCCACCAGTGGTGAGGGTGGGGGTGTCCACTTGCTCAGGATCCCCCTCTAGTCACCAGAATGGAGGTGCACAAAGAGTGGGGGGCCAATGAATGGATACCAAAAAAAAAAAAAAAAAGAAAATCAGAACAAAGCAAAACCAACAAAGTATATTATCCACCTTTGCTCCAAGGTTACCGTGGCATTTTTCCGTGGTGTGTCTGCTCCCCTACTTACTTCCATTTCAAGTTCCACTAGCTATAAGCCTTCAAGCTTTTAAAACATTCCTACCTATGTGGTTCCAAGCCTTGAAGCTCTGCCCTGAATCTGCTTTACCTGGTATTCTGTGGTATGGCTGATGGATAACCTCACTGTACCTCTACCCTAGCTGCCATCAAGCCCCGCCTCCTCCCGGTATTCTTTAAAAAGAAAAAAGTCAACAGAGCAAAGATCAGACAGAATACTAGTAAGCCTAATTCAAAATGTTAAGCAATAATAACAACAGTTAGCATTTTAAGGTATTTACCTGGCGCCGAAAACTGTTTTCCCACGTTACATATATTAATTAACTTAATTTTCACAATTACTCTATGAAGTAGATAATGTCCACATTTTACAAATAAGAAAATTAAGCTTGTGGTGGAGTCAGAATTTGAACAGGTCTAATAAGTGCAGATTCTTTTGGTGTAACTAATTCCAAAAGATTCAGGTTTACTGTGGCAATGCAGGAAAGGCACTAGACCCAAGGTCAAAGATTCAGACCCATCAGCTGCTCCTTGGAAACCCAATACAGGTTTGCTATGGGTCAGAATCGACTCCATAGCACTTAACAACAACAGCAATGTAATATATATTTGTATGTACCACACTTTTAATTATGATAGAGATAAAAAGATATCTTTAAACATAATGCAGTACTAATAATTATGCTTTGATATAAAGTACAAAATAGCACCTTATGTTATTATGAATGAACCATTGTATGTATGGCAAATTTTTAATAGAAAAGGCATTATGGGAGTTGGTTCATAACTATAGGTTATACTTAAGTCTGACACTCATCACCTAGGGGAGGCCTGTAAATATATTTATCTAAAAGATTGGATATATACATATTAGTCTATTAAGCAAAGTTCTTTCTGAGTACTTTATTCTCTGTATATTTTATGGCTTGAATCTTTCACAGAAGTATGCGTTCATTAAACTTTTGGTATTCAAAACAGTAAAATATTTTTTAAAGTGGCTGAAAATAATGAAAATATTCAAAGGAAACTCAGAATAGAGCAAATACCATGTTGTAGTCCGCCAATTGTCCTTGAAACTCTTTGATTTCAATAGCTAAAGTCTCAGCCCTGCAAGCATAAAATAAATACATTCATAAATACATAAATGAGCAGAGAGCTATGAACAGTATGAATAACTAACCCTATATATAGTGTATCGAATGACATATATAATAAAAAAGATTTTTTCATATTCAACTGCAAAATTTCTCACCTCTTTTCATATGACAAATATACTGAATTCTCTTGATTGTACATTTCTATTTCTTTCTGAAGTTTATTAATTTCAGTCGTAAGTTCACTGATTTTACTTCTAAATGAAAAAAAAAATAAGAAAGTAAACAATACTTTTCATCCAAAAAAGACTCCAGTTAAATAAAACTTAAAACTCCTCACACACACATATAACATAATGATTTAAATGGTTTTATAAAATTTCACTAAAAAAATAAAAGTTTAAGTACTTCATCAAGAAAAAGGCATATCCCATCCTACTCTACTCAACTGATGATACTGCCACAGACTAATGAGTAAGAATGATCAAATAAGACCAGAATGGGAGACTGGTCAAACTGATACAATGCAAAGACAAAAGTAGATGCGTCGTAACTCTTACTCTCACAGATGCTTCTCCTGCAGGGCAACATTTCGGAATACCCACCATAGTGATACTTTAGTCCACTGGATAATTCTTTGTGATAAGGGGATGTTCTATGCATTGTACAATACTTGGCAACATCCTTGGTTTATATATAACAGTCTCTCTCCCTGACACTCATTATGACATAAAAAAAAAAATGTTTCCAGAAATAACCAAATATTCCCTGGTGGACAAAATTGTCTCTGGTGGAGCACCACTGCTTTAGGGTCAGTTACACAAATATCTAAAACTATTCTTTGAAACAAGCACAAATCCTGGAGAAAGGCAATGCCATAATCAAGAATTACATTCCTCCCACTACTGTAAGAGCCTAAGAAAAAGAACCCATACTAATCTACTTAAGTGGATTCTTAGCTGTTTGCTAGGCTGTAGAGGTAGGGTTAGGGGCAGGAGGGGAAGGTGGAGCACAGGGCAGGGAACAGACACAGGATAAGTTGGGTGTTTGGGAGGGGGACAATATATAAGTAGGGAAAGGGGAATGGAAGAACAAAGCAGATGGGAGAACAATTAGCCAGGTATGAATGGACTAAATGGGACAGAGGTAAAAAATGATGTAGGCACAGCTTTAGAAAAACAGGGCTCTGGGACACAGAAACTGAGACATGATTGGAATAGGGAAAGGAGGTGAATAATGTTAAGATGCTTGGCTCTCTTTTGAACCTTGGTTTTCTGTGCATTATATTATAAAACAGACACTGGATGGGGAGAGAAAGGAATAGCCAGAAATATCACCATAGAAAGCTTGTAAGTCCATCTTCTGCCTATAAAATGGGGCTACAATGTGTCCAGTGAAGGAGGTTTCCTAAGGAGCCTCTGCATTACATAAGACTATAGGTGGAAGCCTGAAACACAGCTAGACCTTCAGAGACAGGAAATCTTCCACTTAAAAGGACAAGCAGACTAGCCTGGAGCAGCTAGAAAACCAGAAGATATTTCTTAAAAGAAAGACCTACAGGAAAAATACAAAACAATATGGGCAGTCCGACTGTTACCACAAGAACAAGCAAGTTGCTTGCCCGGGAGACATCAAGGCAGGTGGTCAGGTCCTCTCAGTATAAATCCTCTTCCAAGGCTAAGATGCAATGGAAACACACGCTCAGATTGGCGACCACGCATGTCACCCATAAGGGGAAGTGACCAAAGAACATCAATGAAGTGGCCAGATAACCCCTACATCGTCTAGCAGACTACTGTGAACCCGGGTGGAGACCTGGTCAGCCAGCAGTGAGGCAGGACCTGGGGACTCATGGGCTCAGAGTCAAGGACACAACCACAGAGGACTAGAGTGGAGAGCGAAACGGTCAGCTGATAAGAAGAGGGCGTACAGACTCAATAACACCCAGACTTGCAGAGGATACCCACTTGACCTGGCTTCAATAACTGAATGAACAGAACTCGACACAAAGAAGAAAGAAGAGGAAAAAAGCGTCATCTGATACAATTTGATAAACCTGACCTACACCCATAAATGCAGTAGCACAAAAGAGGAAACAAATCCCTGCTGCAAGAATTATTCCCACCCCCTCCACACAAAGAGTGGACAGAGATGGGCAACTTGGATATTGGCTACCCAAAATGGGGAGAGGGATATAAAGGTAAGAAGTGACTGGCTTACAAGCTTTCGAGAGGGAACCTAGATCCAAAGACCATGGAGGAAGGTAGAGTCTCCAGTGAATAGTATCCAACCTGTTCAGGAAGGGCTGATGAAATGAAATGCAGATGGATCTATTGTGACGCAATAGTGAAGAATTGTTATCAGGACTGGTTGTGAGGGTTGGAAATGTAAAGGTGGACATTTTATAGCTAGGAGGGGAGTGATTAACTTTTCAGTCTAGGAGCAGAGGGCCTTGGGACCATCAATGAAGAAGAGTGGAGAGCAGGACCCTACCCAGAGAAGCAGTGAGGCCTGAGATGGAGGCAGAGAAGATGACGTGAAGAGATGGAGTGGCTGGGGACTTGAGATCCAGAGAGGGAAAGGGGCTGTGTGTGCTGAGGGCCGTGGGGGGGTGGGAGCAGGCTTGCAGGGTATACCCTTCAGTTGGGTGATGATGCATGGACGGGATGGTAACTATGGCAATGAAACGATGCATGATAGAATTAATGTAAAACAATGTTCTCCCATGTAAACTATCACACAATTCACAATAAAACATTTATTAAAAAAAAAGAATTACATTCCTCTGATCAAAAGGTGACAGGATATATCAGAAATGCTTTAACCTGTCCTACACAGTTTTCAAGACTATGAATCTTGTGCAAGGACACTGCCACATCTTGGCTTTAAGGGAAGATAGGGGGCAAGAGGGAGCCTATCCTTCATTAGTTTTGCAGACAAATGGGATGGGGGTTCGATACCTCTGATGGGCTGCTAACCTCAATGTCAGCAGTTCAAAACTACCAGCTGTTCTGCGGGAGAAAGATGAGGTTTTCTGCTCCAGTAAAGATTTATAGCCTTAGAAACCCTATGCAGTGTCGCTATGTGTCAGAATGTACTCCACTGCACACAACCACCACCACCACCACCAGGAGTATGAGAATCAAAAGGATACAGACAATTAAGATACAAAAGAATCAAGAAGAAGTAAACAAGAAAACAAGGCTTTCAGGTCATAATAGAAGGATGGATTAAATGGAATGGAAATGAGAAAGAAGAATAATGAACCAAGAATAAAATAAAGTAAAATGACAAAATGCATATAGGAGAGTAGGACATAAGAGAAGAAGAAAGTTAGGTACAGAAGGAGAAAAAGAATTCTTAGTTTAGAACTGCATACCTAAAGAAATACAACAAAACATATAAATGAATTAAAACTAGGCCATATTCACAGTAATTGACCAGATATATATCTATGTATATATTATGGACTCCTGGTGTGGTTCTGTAGGATAAGCACTTGGCAGTTTAAAACCCATCCGCTGCTCCTCAGAAACCCTATAAAGGATTATGAATCATGACTGACTGAAAGCCAATTAACAATAACACCATGCTTATGTAAAATTACATACTGCAATTTGTCATAAATAAGTATATGTAGTTTTTCTTTCTTATTTGATGCCATTGGTGGCATTCCATAGGTATGGATACTATATTTCAGAATTACTATTGAAAAATATAAAAAATAATTCTTATCATTAGATGAAAATATGAAAATGAAATGCATAGTTCATATATGCAAATACATATAATTAAGAATCTCAAACTAATTTTATACATCTATTTTTCAGTGCAGGCAAATTATGTCAGAATGCAAATCATTCTTAGAAATCAACAGACCCCTAATTATCTTAACAAATACCAAACTCAATATTCATGATCACATGAAAAAATAAAAGATGTGCTTAGTTAACATACCTAAGAAGCCCAAGATAATAAGATTTGTCTAAAATCTGTCTCTGTGGACCTAAAGAAAAAAAATGTAAAAAGTGTTTAGTACTGGTACTCTGAAAATGCCACCAAAATATCATATCCAAAACACAACCAGAATTACATATAGTTCTCACATAGTCTTCATGAATATGCTTAACAAATCAATCAAGAAGAATCACTGAAATGGAAAAGAGGATTGATGTCTTAGGAAATAATGGCAACTTAAATTAAGACCAAAAAGACGGGACCAGAGGCAAGCTACTAAAACAGTTGACTCTAAAAGGCAGTTTGAATGGATACTGGGTCTCCAAAAAAACTAAACCCACTGCCATCTAGTTGATTAGAACTTCCCTACAGGGTTTCCTGGAGACCTGGTGTTGTTGTTATGTGCCGTGGAGTCGATTCTGACTCATAGCTACCCTTTACAGGGTTTCTGAGGCTGTAAATCTTTATGGGAGCAGAATGCCTCATCTTTCTCCCGCGGAACAGCTGGTAGTTTCGAACTGCTGACCGTGAGGTTCGCAGCCCAATTCGTAACCACTATGCTACCAGAGCTCCTGGAGACCTGGTGTAGCGCTGTATAATAATACACTGGATGGAAAGGTCAGTTACAACCTTTCATTCAGTGGCTGGCAGTCCAAACTCACCAGCCACTCCTCGGAAATCCTGTACACGGTCGCTATGTTGAATATTGGAAGTGCCATGGGCTGCCAAAAGAACCTATAGATCCGTTTTGGAAGATGTACAGCCAGAGTGCTCCTTGGAGGCCAAGATAGCCAAACTTCATCTCTCATACTTTGGACATACTTTCATGAGAGACCAGTCACTGGAAAAGGACATCATGTTTGGTAAGGTGGAGGCTCAGAGACAAAGAGAAAGACCCCCAACGAGATGGATTGGCCAAGTGGCAGCATCGATGGACTTAAGCATGGCAACTGTAGTGAGGTTGGCCCAGGACCAGGCAGTGTCTCGTTCTGCTCTGCATAAGGTTGCTGTGAGTTGGTACCGACTCGATGGCACCTAATAACAACAAATGGCAATTAGCAACAACAACATAGGGCTTCCTGGTGTGGCTCTGTAGAATATGAATTGGACTGCTAACCACAAGGCTGGTGTGGTGGTTCAAACCCATTGGTCACTCCTCAGAACCACATACAGGGTTGCTAAGAGTCAGAACTGACTCAACTGTTCTCAACAACAACATAAGGTTTCCAAGGCTGCAAATTTTACAAGGCCAACTTGCTTCCACTGTGCCACCAGGGGTCTTCATACTGGTCATTGTCATTAAGCGCTTATAGTTGGTTGACTCATAGTAACCCTGAATACGGTTTCCCAGGAGCAGTTGGTAAGTTTGAACCGTTGACCTTGTGGTTGAAACCAAGCTGCAGTCAAATGCTTATCCTATAGTGCCACACCAAGACTCTGCTCATAAGGAAGTCTAGATTAGGCCTGTCCCTGAAAAAGAACTTCCTGCAATGATGGAAACATTCTTTATCAGTGCTATCTAATAAAATAGTCACATGCAAATACTGAGCACTTAAAATTTGACAAGTGCCACTGGAAAATTCCAAGGAGCTCTGGTAGCGTAGTGGTTATGAGTCGGGCTGCTGACCTCAAGGTCAGCAGTTCAAAACTACCAGCTGTTCCGTGGGAGAAAGATGAGACTTTCTGCTCTCGTAAAGATTTAAAGCCTCAAAAACCCTACGTAGGGTCGCTATGCATAGGAACAGACTCCACAGCACACCACCAACACTGCCACTGGGAAACTCCATACAATAAGCACTGGACTGCAAACCACAAGGTCCACAATTTGAGCCTACCAGCCACTCTGTGGCTTCAGAAAACCTATATAGGGTCACTATGAGTCAGAATTGACTAAACAGCACTTAATAACAACAACTGAGAAAGTGAATGCTAATTTTATTATCATTAATTTAAATTTATTTAAGTAGTATGTGTGACTAGTAGCTATCATATTGGACAGTGAGATCAAGACTGTGAACTCTTCACAGAGTATTTTCACAATCATTCTCTTACTTAGTTTAACCTCACAATTTTATGAATCAGGGAATTAGAATTTCACAAGCTGGTGTGGCACTGTAGTGTAGTATAAGCACAGGACTGTGAACCACAAGGTCAATAGTTCAAATCCACCAGTTGCTTCTAGGAAACCCTATACACTATATGAGTTGGAACTGACTCGATGCCACTTAGCAAGTTCTGATTTAGAAATATTTCTTGTAGAAAACATACTCATCTTCTTAAAACATATACCTTTCATTCCCGTTTTCATTCCACTCAAACCTTGTTGTGTTACCGGACGATCTGCAACTTTGATTTGAGAAGACAGAACTCCTCCTGTCCCTATAGGACCACCACGAGAGCCTGGCCTTGCTGTTCCAGGTGGCATCTAAGTGATAAATAAGAGCTCCCTTTTAGCAAATAGGAACAATACTATACCTCACCCATGACATAAACCACCGAAAATTAAAAACAAAGCCAAAATTTAACATATTTATAAAATGTCCCTTATACTTTAAATGAACCCTGATGTAGCACACTGTAGGATAAGCACTGGACTGGTAACTGCAATGTCAACAGTTCAAACCCACCAGCCACTTAGAAACCCTACATGATGACATTTAACAAGTATTGAATATTACTTAATACTTCAGAAATTCAAAAGTATTTGTTATTGTTTGTTGTTGTATGCCATCAAGCTGGTTCTGATTCATAGCAGCCCTGTATAGGGTTTGCTGTTCCAAACATAGTAAATCACATGATTTTCTGATTCAAAATGACCAAAACCAGTCCGTTTCAGTTCACTAATACCTAGGATATATATCTTTATGTGCTCCATTTCGTTTTTGACAACTTCCAATTTTCCTAGATTCATACTTCATATATTCCATGTTCTGAATCTTAATGGATGTTTGCAGCTGTTTTTCTCGTTTTGAGTTGTGCCCCATCAGCAAATGAAGGCCCTGAAAGCTTTGCTCCACCCATATCATTAAGTCAAAGAACCAATAGATCTGTTTTGGAAGAAGTGCAGCCAGAGTGCTCCTTGGAGGCCAGGATGGCTAAGCTTCGTCTCTCCTACTTTGGACATATTGTCCGGAGGAAACAATCGTTGGAGAAGGATGTCATGCTGGGTAGGGTGGAGGGTCAGAGAAAAAGAGGAAGACCCCGAACGAGATGGATCAGCCAGGTGGCATCATTGATGGACTCAAGTGTGGCAGCGGTAGTGAGGTTGGCCCAGGATCGGACATTGTTTCGTTCTGCTGTGCATGGGGTCGCTATGCGTCGGTTCCGACTCGATGGCACCTGACAACAACAACTTTGAGGAGGCAGCTCTTCTGCAGTTATATTTTGAGTGCCTTCCAACCTAAGGGCTCATCTTCTGGCACTATATCAGACAATCTTCCACACTGCTATTACAATTTTCAGTGAATAACCATTCAGAAGTGGTTATTCTTCTTCCTTGTCTATCATGGTCTGGAAACGTCATTGAAACTGTCCACCAAGAGTGACCCTGCTGGTATTTAAAATATGGGTGGCATAGCTTCTAGTATCACAACAACACACAAACCACCATAGTACGACAAAATGACAGACGAATGGTGTATTCCATTTTTAGACCTGTTGTTTGGCTGAAAATTGAGCCATGGCGTCTCTATCTGACAAATGATAAGCTTGGTCATGTCTATGATTTTGAGTTTTGCTCCACATTTTGTTCTCTCACTTCATCTATTACCTAATAATAGTTGGTAGTGGTAACAAGGCACAATCTAATTCCTTTGGTCTTAGTGGAGATTAATGTTCATGTGGTCCATTGGGCTAATTATTTCCATGTGTCATTGATTTTCCTTACTCTTCTTCCCTCCACACAGTGGAGACTAATAGTTGCACCTTAGATGGTCCCTTGTGAGCTTACAAGACCCTAGCACTACTTACCAAAGTTAAGATGTAGAACATTGTCTTTGTGAATTATGTTATATCTATTGATCTTGTTGTTGTGAAGTGCCGTTGAGTTGTGTCTGACCCATAATGACCCTGTATAGGGTTTCCAAGGAGCAGCTGGTGAGCTTGAACTGCCAACTTTGCAGTTCAAATGACATTGCAATCTGGCGCATTACATACAGCGCCACACACCAGGACTCCATATTGATCTTGTTGTTGTTGTTGTTGTGAAGTGCTGACAAGTTGATTCCAACCCATAGTGACCCTGTATAGGGTTTCCAAGGAGCAGCTGGTAAGCTTGAAGTGCCAACCTTGCAGTTCAAACAGCTTTGCAGTCTGATGGATTAACCCACAGCACCACCCCAGGTCTCCCTATTGATCTTAGTGACCCTCAATTCCATGGTTCAAAGGCCCAGCAACTCATTCCTTCAAGGTACTTGATTATAGCTAAGAATTTTTCATAATTTTGCCCTATGTATATTCTACTACACTCATGGATATATTTGCAGCAATGGTAAATAAACATTACATATATCTTCTGGTAAACTATATATACTTATATACTTATATATATATATATATTCATGGGTATACACCCAATCTCCATCCCTGTGACGATCCATGCATCTTTGTCGAGTCCTGGTGTGGTGCTGTGGGCTAATGCGTCACACTGCAAAGTCGTTTGAACTGCAAGGTCGGTGGTTCAAGCTCACCAGCTGCTCCTTGGAAATCCTATACAGGGTCGCTATGGGTCGGAATTGACTCAACAGCACTTAACAACAACTCGTGTAAATCACTGTTTTTACAGGATTATATATATAATAGTAAAACACACCAGCTGCTTCTCAGAAAGCTTATACAGGGTTGCTGTGAGTCAGAACTGACTTGCCAACACTTAACAACCTCTGTTGCCTTTAACTCTTGCACTCCTCCCAGTGTCTTCCTCTGCCTTGCCATTTTTTCTTTTCTTTTCTTTTCTTTTTTGCTGACCTTCCTCTAGTGCCTTCCCATTCACCCAAGTTAACAAGCGTCTACACTCTAGCCAGCCATTTGCTTTCTCTTTGCTCCCTCCTCCCTTTCCTTCCCACCCCTGGTAACCATCAAATGTTTTCATGTGAAAACCTTTTCTTGACTTTTTACAACAGTGGTTTCATACAATATTTATCTATTTCTGATTGACTGATTTCATTCAGTATAACATCTTCCAGGTTCACTCATGTTAGGACGTGTGTCACAGATGTATCATTATTCTTTAACACTGCATGGTATTCCACTCTGTTTACATATCGTAGTCTGTTTAATCACTCTTCTATTGCTGGGCATTTAGGTTGTTTCCATCTTTTTGCTACTGTGAATTGGGCTACAACGAACATGGGTGTGCATATGTCTATTCATGTCAAGGGTCTTATTTCTCTAAAATATACTTTTTATAGAGAGATTGTTGCGTTATATAGTATTTCTATTTCCAGCTTTTTAAGGATGTGCCATAGCATTTTCCACAGTGGTCACACTATTCTACAGTCCCACCAGCAATGTATGTGGGTCCTGTCACTGCATACCCTCGCCATCATTTGCTGTTTTCTGTTTTTTTGAACATACTATTATTTCTGGGGTGAGATTATATGTTGCATCAATCATCTAGTGGCTAATGATTGCGAGCATTTCTTCATATGTTTGTTGTCTGCCAGAATGTCTTCTTTGGTGATGTTTGTTTATGTCTCCTGCCTATTTCTTAACTAGATAATTTGTTTTTTCTTGTTGAGGTGCTGAAGTTTTCTATAAATTTTAGAGAGCTTTTTGTGTGTGCGTGTGTGTTCGTTTATTATAGAAGAATTTTTAAATAGTTTAATAATGATACTTCCAGAAGAAATCTCACATATTTTTTATTAGTTATAAGGTTTACAGCCTTATACAATAGTCTTACAAATTACTAAAGTTTGCTCTTTTCAGTTTAGGATTCAAAACCCGATGTGTGACATATATGTTATAAATATTTTTATGAGCTTGTCATTTCTTTTTAACTTTTTTTATGGTATCTTCGATTTTTACAAATTCAAAAATATAAATATCTTTCCTCTTTAGTACTTAGTGTTTGTCATTTTCAGAAAGGCCTAGTCCATCCAAGTTTACTTGCTGATGTTTTCTAGTAATTTTGTGGCTTCATTTTAAAAATATAAATCTCTACAGCTAGAATTTATTCTGATAAAAGGTATGAAGGAGGGATCAATATTTTTCTTTTTATAATAGCTTACAGTTATTTGGATGAACTACTGAATATTCTTTTTCAACTAATTTAAAATGTCACCTTAATCACACACTGAATTTTTAAAGATACTTAGCCTTGATTTATTTCATTTCATTTGATTTGGATCTCAATATACTATACTATTTAAATTATTATAACTGGAAAATTCATTTTACTATTAAAAGAGCAGGCATCTTCCCTCAATAGTAGTTTTCAGACATTTTCCAACATTTATACTTCCATATGTTCAAAAAAATAAAAACCATATGTAATATATATAACTGTATGCTTGTGGAACAAAGGGACAGCAAAGAACCTCTTACTATTAGAAAGGATTTCCAACTTACTCCAGTTGCCACTCGAATATTTCCTGATGGGGGTCGTATCCCAGAAGGTGGTCTTCCTGTCAGCCCAATTCCTCGTGAAATAGGGCGAGCTGCTGAAGGTTTATGATTACTGGCCATTGCTTTTTCACTTTAACCACTGTTTGGAAACAATAAAGAGTTCAATACTCCTTTGATGTCTTCTATAGCAAAATAGTAATGAGCCATCACATCCTTTCTTAATGCCATGATGACTTTTCTTACAAGTCTGCCCTAAGTTTATTCCACTTTGACATCAGTTTTCCATTTTGAATCATGATATCATTCATTGTAACATGTCTTCCTCATTTCACTATTACCTAACCAAAATGCAAGCCCTCCTAGTTATCTTTCCTCCCATACTTTCTCATATACACCTAGGATTTTCATTCTGTCTCAATATTTTCTTTATGCTTTCTGTTCCATGGCTAATTCCTTACGGGCTCAATCTTGTTTAGAAGTACTTCCTTTTACATCAGAAGCTCCAACATTGTTGATATTGAAGGTTGTTTTTGCTTCCCGACACTCTCCTTGCACCCCAGAGTCACTTTCAAAATACTATTCTTCCATGTCTTTTTAAAAATAAATAAACAAGACACTCTTATTTTGAGGACCAGGGAATAGAACCTTATTGCCTTGACTATTTCCTGGTTGTTATTATCTAGCCACCTCCTGTTCACAGCCTCATCTTGACTTGGTTCTTAGTCTTTCTATCCCAAGTTCCACCATCATCTTGGACTTCAATTTGCATATTAGATCCTGTATCTAATATTCTATCTTCAAAGTTCCCAAATTCAATTTTAATAACCATCCCAATTTTATTTCAGCTATTCAGAGCCAAGGACAGAATCAGGAGTTTGTTATCATATGGAATTGTTTCCATCTCAAAAATCTTCAATGAAATACTCTATTTTTACTTTAATCTCCTCTATTTCTACCTATTTTTCATTTCTATTCCATTAGCACCTCCCTTTAGCCACTTCCTTAATCCATTCATTTTCTCCTATTTATCAGATCTCTCCTTGATTCATTATAATACAGATATTATTTAAACTTTTGGTTGATTATATAAAATAACATGTTAAATTATAGATTGTGAAAACAAGTTGGCAGATTGTGACCAATATTCTTTAAATATGAATTGCATTAGGAAATATGAGAGAGTTCACCGCATATAAAAAGGGTAGATACTGTTTCATTAAATATTTTCCTACTTGTATAAATTACTTTTATTTTATCTACAGTATTGTATCCTTTCTTATAACCTCAACTTTGCTGATGACAAATATATCAATGTCTATAGCTATGCCCTTAAGGAGCTCTGGTAACGTAGTGGTTATGAATCAGGCTGCTAATCTCACGGTCAGCAGTTTGAAACTACCAGCTGTTTCGCGGGAGAAAGATGAGGCTTTCTGCTCCCGTAAAGACTTACAGCCTCAGAAACCCTGTACAGGGCCGCTATGAGTCAGAACCGACTCCATGGCACATAACAACATAGCTATGCCCTTTCATCTGAACAGAAAATCTAAATTTGTTTACTAAAAATTTCCATACAGATATTCATACCATTTATACTGAATAAATTCACATCAAACATACAATCTTCCCATCTCAACTAATTTCCTGATAATATTTTTTTTGCCACTTAAATTCTACAAAGTACTAGAATTCTTTCAAATGGAAAACGAAGTTTCAATAAAATGACTTACAAAAAGAAAGACAAGGTTTATGATCAAATCATAAAAAATTTTAAAAGATGACACTTTCCTGATAACTTCAGGAAATTTTACAATATAGAGAAATGCAAAATTAAAACTCTTCAAGTTTTAACAAGATTTCAAGCGATTTTGCCAATTTTGTTGCAGTGAAAAAAGCATAATATAAACTAATCGTTTATCTATACAACAGAAGTACAGCAATGAGTCCTACAGTGCAGAGCTGTGAAGATTACAGATAGTGAATGTAAAGTACCTGTTGTGTTGTTGTTAGGTGCCATGGAGTTGGTTCCTACTCATAGCGACCTTATACACCACAGAAGGAAACAATGCCAGGTCCTGCGCCATCTTCACAATTGTAAATTGTAAATGTAAACTACCTAGTTAGTAGTTAACAATTGCTAGTAAGAATTATCATTGTCATAAAAAGTCCTAGTGGTACTATAAGATAAGCATTAGGCTACTAACGATAAGGTGGACAGTTAAAACCCACCAGCCACTCTGAGGGAGAAAGAAGAAAACTGTCAGCTCCCGTAAACATTTACAATCTCGGACACCCTAGCAGGGACAGGGAACCTTTTTTCTGCCAAATTTATAACATCATTTGCAGGCCATTCAAAATAATCAATTTAAAAATTAGCCGGCTACATTTGGTCAAACATTTAATGAACTCACCCCTAATGTGATGAGTCCTAGTGTGGCGCTGTGGGCTAATGCATCAGACTGCAAAGTCGTTTGAACTGCAAGATCGGTGATTCAAGCTCACCAGCTGCTCCTTGGAAACCCTATACAGGGTCGCTATAGGTCGGAATCGACTTAACAACAACAAAGCGTTGATTGAACTACTCGTTGACTTGGCAGGGCCAGACCAAATGATTTCGAGGACCAACGTTCCCTGCAATAGGGTTGCTATAAGTCACAATCAATGGCAGTATGGTTGTCATTATCCTCCCTATGCCAACCATTCTCACATCTGTAAACTGGAAAACTGCTAAATCCCTTTCACTGCAATCAACAGATACATGTCTATCATGGAGATTCTAGTAAAATGTCTTTGAGGCATTTGGATAGTTCTCTCAGGTCCCGGCTTGAATCTCCTCAAGGAACTGTTTGAGGCGGGTTTCTGCTCATCCTTTCCCAGACTAGAGTTCGGAATCTCTCAGGCCTGGTGAGGAGCACGAGGGTAACCGCTAACGACCTGGAGTTTGTTTTGTTTGGAGTAATCAGCGATCAGCATCTCTAAAGTAAGATCACCAGATCTCCCAGAGTGACGGTGGAACCTGGGATTTCTCACCTCGGCTAGCACTGAAGGAGGGCGGTCTCACAGCTCGGGCGCCCTAACCTCTTCGGAGGCCGCCACAATCACAAAGCCTACCAGTCAGCAGCGCACACCCGCTCTCCCACTTGTGGCTTCCCGCGCACCCCCACAAATTCCTGGGGTCCGCAGTACTCACCACTATCACCAGGAGCTGCTGTGTATCCCGGCAACAGGGGCGGGACGGAAAAAGGCTCCACCTCTCAATTAACCAATCGTTGATCTCCGGCATCTAGTTCCTTCTAGGGGAGTGAGAGCAAATTGCTCTCTCGCGAGACTAGTCCTGATGTGGTGCAGTCGGATAAACAGTGTGCTGCTGACCAAAGGATTGGCGGCTCAAAGCCTTAAGCCACGCCTCGCTAAGGATTGGAACCTACTGTACAGCACTTCATAATAACAACAAATGCTCCAGTTCAAGTTCAAGTATGTAGTTCAATCCCATCAGCCTCTCCTGGAGAAAGATAAGGCTTTACGCACCTGCGAAGATTTAAGACTTCGGAAACGACACAGGGTCGGAACCCACTCGAAGGCACACAACAACAAAAACAAAAATGCTTTCCTGAGGACTACTAGTGTGCGCTGTAGGATAAGCACTGGAACTCCAGATTGACGGTTCAAACTCACCAGCCATCCTTGGAAACCCTATAAAAAGTCATAGGAACCGACTCACGACACAACAACAACATGATTTCCTTAAATTAATGAAGAACGTTGGTTTGCATAGATAACAGAGTAGAACATTTCCGTTTAAAACCTTGGTTTTAAATAACCATTTAGAGCAAACTTGTGACAAGACTGGTGTCTCTCAAGACCTGTGGCAAACTGCATTGTGTGCTTAACCTAAACTCGAACTTTATTTTATGCAATGTAACCACAAGTCTGCTACCACGAATAAAAGAACCGGTTGAAGAAATTAGGTGGTAGCAAGCACTATATAATTTTATACTCCTATTAGTAATAGTTTTTCCTCCTGTGAAAACTGCGTAAGTATCTTACTCAATTCTGGCCCCATCCTTTCTAGTTTTCCTCATTGCATCTGAAAGATTCAGAGTTCTTTGGAACGAAGTTGTTAAAGGAGGTTATAAATTAAATGAAAAACGTTCTTACAAAAAATTTATTTTAAAAATAAGTGTAGATTTAATTCACCTTAAATCCTACCTCTCTAAAAACTTTTAGGTTTTCTTCCACTCTAATAAAACCAAACCAAAAAACAAACCCACTGCCATAGCGACCCCATATAGAGTTGTAATCTTTACAGAGGTCAAAAGCCTCATCTTCCCACACAGTGACTCATGGATTTGACCACCTTACAAATAGCAGTCCATTGATTATCCTACAGTCCTACATTGTTAACTGTGATTATAGCTGTAATCACAGCATATATACATTTTGGACGTGTAACATTATTTGACACATTATTTCCAACCTGCATCCACCGCATACATCCAGATTTATACTCTTCAAGAACATATCCAAGCAAAATTAAGCCTTTGACAAGTTCAATCTTTTCACCATTTATATGGATGTTGTTTATTGGTCCAGTGGTGAGGATATTTGCTTTCTTTATATTTAGGCGCAAGCCATACAGAAGACTGTGGTCTTTGATCTTCATCAATAAGTATTTTAAGTCCTTTCTGCTTTCAGCAAGCAAGGTTGTATAATCTGTATATTGCAGGTAGTTAATGATTCTTCCTTCTATCCTGATGCCATGTTCTTTTACATATAATCCATCTTCTTGGGATTATTTGCTCAACATGCAGATTTAATAAGTATGGTTTAAAAAAAAAAAAAGTATGCTAAAAGAATACAACCCTGGCAAACACTTTTCCTAATTTTAAACCATTCTGTGTTCCCTTGTTCTGTTCAAACAACTGTCTCTTGGTCTATGTACAGGTTCTTCATGAGCACAATTAAGTGTTCCAGAATACTCATTCTCTGCAATATTGTCCATATCTTGTCATGATCCACACAATCAAAAGTCTTTGCATAGTCAATAAAGCATAGGTAAACATCTTTCTGGTATTCTCCACTTTCAGCCAAGATCCATCTGAAGTCAGCGATGATATCCCTGG